ATTCCTATTGGCTTTTGAAAGCCAATAGAATTAGACTCTATTCAAGAGAGTCTATTCTATTGGCTTTCAAAAGCCAATAGAATAAAAGGGAGTAGCACAGCTAAGGAAAAGGGGGAAAAAATGGCGGACTACGTTGTTTGGCGACCCCGTGAAATGGTCGTTCGACCCCAAATGGGGTCCCGACCCACAGGTTGAGAACCACTGGCCTAGATACTGATAAGCCTTGACATATGCCTGGATATTTAAAAACCTTGGGAAGTTAGGACCTAGTCGAAAAAAGTTACTAATAGTTTTGAAACACTTTGCAGACCAGAATGTCGGGTTCCAAATCTTGAGTTCAAAAGCTGCACCAAGTTTCAGAAAAAAATTGCATCCAGTCAGGCTTTTATTTTAGGATTTGCTGAAATCCTATTTCCCCTCTGAAACCCAATACATTTCCAGTGCAGTACAGATAATCCTCGGCTTACGACCACATCTGAGCCCAAAATTTCTTTTGTGAAGTGAAACATTTGTTCAGTGAATTTTGCCCCGTTTTACGACCTTTCTTGCCACAGTTGCTAAGTGAATCGCTGCAGCTGTTAAGTTAGTGACACGGTTGTTAAGTGAATCTGGCTTCCCCCCCCCAATTGATTTTGCTTATCAGAAGGTCACCAAAGGGGATCACGTGACCCCCGGGATACTGCAACCATCATAAGTACATGCCAGTTGCTAAGCCTCTGAATTTTGATCACGTGATTGTGGCGATGCTGCAAGGGGTCGTAAGTGTGACTTTTTTCAGTGTCGTTGTAGTTTTGAACAGTCCCTAAATGAACCGTTGTAAGTGGAGGTCTGTTATAGCAAATTGAAGACATATACAAGAAAAGACAGGAAAGGTGAATCAAAGCAATCTCAGTTGTACCAGACCTTCAGAATACATTGGGATAATTACAGTTTTAGCATTAAATGAATGTATATTCGATGTTGAGATTATTATTATTTCAAAAAACCCTGAGCAAAAATATTTCCCTTTTAAATCGGAGGAACTTCTCTGCTAGTTCACATTTCCTGCTCCCCATTTGTACCAGTTTCAGTTTTCAGATCCTTAATAAATAAATTTTTAAAAGAACTAAAATACTGTCAAACTGTCACATTTTTGACACAATGGCAGTCATCTTTCCCTGGAGGTTACACCGGTTCTCCTAAGAGTGCTGAAATTTCAGCTTTTTTTCCCAGCTTCAATTGCCAGTTGGGGGATTCTGGGAGTTGAAGTTCACGTTGAGAAACACTGATCTAGATTACTGTATATATTCGTAGATAAGATAAAGATGTAAGTGCCAAAATACACTCCCCAAATTGGATTGAGCTTATCTGCAAGTACGTACAGTAATAGTTTTCCAGACATAGTTGCAGTAAGTAAGCCCACCCACAGATAAGCTGACTCAAATTTTTAAGTAAAATACCATGAAAAATGGATAATCCGTGGATTTACCCACGGATAAGCCCATCGTAAAAATTAAGCCATATGAAAATTTCAAAGGTCCATGAATGTATACGGTAATATCCGCTTATCTGTGGATGGGCTCATCCATGAATATATACGGTAATATCTGCAGTTCAGCAGGCCATGAAGTCATTAATTCTTTTAAACTAATGAATCTTCCTGCAAAACAAGTTGGTTTGGACAGCATGGAGGGTTGCGAATTGTTAATATTCTAATGTGCCCAGGCCCAGCCTTTGTTCAGAATAACCCCTTTGCTTGCCTTTTCACTTTTATAAGCCTTCTTAAACCAGGAATTTAAATGTCTGCTTACTTAAGAGTTTTTCAAGCCAATTAATTGAATTCTTAATCCTCACTGCTGCGCGTTTTTTAAACTGCTTATTATTAACTGCAGAAAATAGCTTCCAGAGATGACTTAAATTGGGGATGTGTAGGGACGACGATGCCAAAAAGTTCTCTGCAAGCTTCATTTAAGACTGCAGAACTTGAGGCCCGTTTTTCTCAACTTTTGACAACTTTAAGATGGGTGGACTTCAACTCCCAGAATTCCCCAGCCACCCACCCACAAGAAAGGTCGCAAAAAACAGGGCAAACTCATTTAATGACTGCCTCACTTAGCAATAGAAATTAGGGGGTCAGCTGTGGTCGTGAGTCAAGGCCTATTGCTAGAGTAGATCCATATGTGAAGCTCTTGCTGACCCGGTAGGAATCAACCCAAGGAGTCTTAGTAGATCCTAGAATTTTCTGCCCCTCTTGGATCAACCAATGGGAAATCAAGGTGGGATTTTGAATGGATAAAAGCAAATTCTTTATTTCCTTCGTGGGAGCTCAGTTAGAAAGTCCAGGTGAGTTGAGAATTTGTAGAGACTCTAGAAATGGAATACATAAACAGGATTTCATTTTTAATATGTGCCAGTGTGCCCACATTAAAAAAAAAATGACAATAAAGGTTATCTTGTCTTAAAAAGGGGTGGCATGCTTAGATTCTCACAACATGCTGAATTGGATTCGTTAAAGACCTAATATTTACAGTAATCCAGCACGTTAAAATGGGCTAAGTTTGTTCCTGGCTTAGCATTTTTCACTGACCTGGTCTCTGGTTAGTTTCTGATTCAATGTTTTGTGTGGATCCAGAAAACAGGTTAAGCCCAAATGCTGGTTGCTTTGTTGCTGGGTGTGTTGTGTGAACCCAGCCAGTGTGGATTGTAAGCCAGAGTTTATGGCTTAATGTGTTCTACGAAGCCCTGACTGGGTGCTTGTTCAGCAATCTATGGCTAAAGAAATCGTGGCTTGATATGTGATTTGAAAATGACCATAATGTGACTGGCTTGTTGATGGCTTATTGAGTATATTTAAAAGACACTCTTCTGTTGATTAAATTAAGATGGGTTGTGTGGTTTGTGGCTGTGTGTTTTATAGGAATCCACCCATTATTTTAATATTTATTCATCAGATTTTTCCCTGTGTTGATTATTTTTATAAATAACTCAATGCAGCAAACATACCTAATCCCGCAGGATCCAATCTGGGTCAGTCACCGGGACCAGAGAATTTGTCTTCCAAGCTTTTGGACTTATACTGGAGCCCATCCTCAGGGAATTTCTCTCACACCAGAATGTGTGTTGGTACCTAATGGTCCTTCCTCCTCTTATTTTCCCCATAACAACAACCTTGTGAGGTGGGTTGGGCTGAGAGAGAATAACTGCTTCAAAATCTCCTAGCTGATTTAGGCATAAAAGGTGGGATTAGAACTCACCATGTCCTGGTTCCAGTTGGGGCCTTAACCACTAGACCAGGGGTCTTCAAACTTGGCCCTTTTATGACTTGTGGACTTCAACTCCCGGAATTCCTCAGCCAGCGTGCCTGGTTGAGGAATTCCGGGAGTTGAAGTCCACAAGTCATTAAAGGGCCAAGTTTGGAGACCCCTGCACTACACCAAGCTGGTCTATGAACTGTTCATTGTATGAGGAGACCTGTACATTAAACCATGATTTGTTAAGCATCCTTTGTAAAAAACAGCAATTAAGTCTCGTTAACCTGGGTTTAACCTAGTGGGAGACTTTAGTTTGCATCGGTTCGATGGGGATAATATATTAGAAACCCACTCAGTTGTGTTTTTTTTTAACAAATTGTAGTTTAACAAGCCATCATTTGGCAGGCTGTGTGAACAAGCCCATTGAAATCATAGGTATCTGTTGTGTTATGTAATGGGTGTTACAATCTCCTTGCATGTCCTGATTATCATTCCTCACTAACATATCTGGGCTGAAGCCCAAAAGTAAAAAAAAAAACAGCTAAAATTAAAAAGCACAGGTAGTTCTCGACTTAATGACCCCAAATTTCTGATGCTAAGAGAGACATTTGTTAAGTAAATGTGGCTCCATTTTACAACCTTCCTTGTCATAGTTAAGTGAATCTTTGCAGTTGTTAAAATAGTAAGACTGTGGTGAATTGAATCCAGCTTCCCCCATTGATTTTGCTTGTCAGAAGGTCGCAAAAGGGGATCACGTGACCCCCCCCCCGGGATACAGCAACTGTCATAAGTACATGTCAGTTGCCAAGCCTCTGAATTTTGATCACTTGACCACGGGGATGCTGTAATGGTCGTTAAGTGTGAAAACTGGTCATAAATCACTTTTTTCAGTGCTGTCGTAACTTTGAATGGTCATTAAATGAACTATTGTAAGTCGAGGATTACCTGTGCTTGCATCAGCAGGAGAAGATGGATATTTTTGCTTTTTGTATCTATGATTACTACTGGTAGGTGCCAATATTGTTAAAAATGAGACCCCCCCATGTCACGGGTAGGTAACTTTGGCTCTTTTATGACTCGTGGACTTCAACTCCCAGAATTCCTCAGCCAGCATGGGGGAACTATGGCCCCTTCATGACTTGTGGACTTCAACTCCCAGAATTCCTGAGCCAGCACGGGGGAAACTTTGGCCCCTTCATGACTCGTGGACTTCAACTCCCAGAATTCCTGAGCCAGCATGGCTCAGCTTGGAAACCTCTCCCTTTCCCCTCAGCATGGCTGGCTCAGGAATTCTGGGAGTTGAAGTCCACGAATCATAAAAGAGCCAAGGTTGTCTACCCCTGCCCCAGGTTTTCATGGACCAGTTGTAGTTTTGGCGATTCAATTGACAGAAGCCAGATTTATCACGAAATCAAAATATTCAAAATGAAAATTTAGTTCACTTAAACACTTGCGGAGAAGGACATAGTCCTTGACTTATGTCTGTAATTGGGAACATACTTTCCATGGCAAATGCAAGTCCTCGACTTACGACCACAATTAAGTGCAACATTTCTGTTGCTAAGTCAAACATTTGTTACGTGAGTTTTGTCCCATTTTACGACCTTGCCACAGTTGTTAAGTGAATCAGTGCAGATTTGAGTTTAGGAACATGGTGGTTAAGCGAATCTGGTTTCCCCATTGACTTTGTCTGTCGAAAGGTCACCAGAGGGGATGACGTGACCCCCGGGACAAGTACATGCCAGTTGCCGAGCCTCTGAATATTGGTCATGTGACCCTGGGGAAGCTGCAATGGCCCTAAGTTTGAAAAAGGGTCCTAAGTCACTTTTTTTTAATGCTGTTGTAACTTTGAACGGTCAGTAAATGTAGTGTTAGCTATTAAAAAGGGCACCTGTGCTCAATTTTACGCTCTTTTTAGCAGCAGTTGTTAAGTGAATGTAGCAGTCATTAAGTGAATCCGTCATTCGCTATTGGATGGTGGGTTTTTGTGCTGTTTCTGGCAATCGGACGGCAAACAAATCCAATAATTATAAAAAATAATGATTCCCCTGATTATTTTTATTTTGCTTAATTTGGTTTTTTTTTTTTACGACAGCCAGCAAGAAGAAGGAGAAGGAACGGCCAGAGATCTCTCTCCCGTCAGACTTCGAACACACGATCCACGTTGGATTTGACGCTGTGACAGGCGAATTTACAGTAAGAACAGCAGGCCTGGTGTCTACTGCAAGCCATGAGGCCATCACTTGTGAAATAATAGCCTTGTGTTACAAATCACAACATATATGTGTGTATATATATATCTATATCTATCTGTTTTCATAGATTTTCATGGGTATAGACCTGCATCTATATCTATATCTATCTATATATCTATATACCTATATCTATAGATCTACATCTACATCTACATCTAATCTCTATCTATATTTATAGAGAGATATGTGATATATATACATGTGTGTGTGATATACAATATATATATCACACACACATATCTATCACATATATCACACACACACATATATATATCACACACACAGTGTGTGTGTGTGTGTGTGTGTGTGTGTATGTTTTCTGAGGTTTTTGTGGGTGTTTGTATGTAGGTCTTTGGTTATTCGGGTTTTCTCCCGCGTAAAATTGGAAGTGTCTTGCCGACGTTTCGACGAAGTCCCATTCGTCATCTTCAGGCTGGTGTTTTCAGCTTCGAGGAGCAATGTGTGGTCTTAGCTGTTTCTTCCTTTTAACTGCCAGTGGGGGTATGAACCCACCACACATCCACGCAAAAAGCAAACCCAAAACCACACCGATGATGAGGCATGACCACAAACCAGAAGCCAGACCACAGCTGCATCATTAGCCACTTTAAACCCTTCCAATCCATACATGAAGCAAACTGACACCCTCCATGAAGAGGAGGCACGACCACGAACGCGAAGCCAAAAAATAGCAAGGCAGCCCAAAATCTTAAACCCCCCTGCAACTCAGACTAACCTGAGCACAACCAAACAGAACACTCCCCCAGCCAATCAGAGCACAGCCAACCCCCCAGCCAACCAGAGCATAGCCAAGCCCCTAACCAATCAGAACACACCTCCACCCAATCAGAACACAGCCAAGCTCCCACCCAATCAGTTCATACCCCCACTGGCAGTTAAAAGGAAGAAACAGCTAAGACCACACATTTCTCCTCGAAGCACGAAGCTGAAAACACCAGCCTGAAGATGACGAATGGGACTTCGTCGAAACGTCGCCAAGACACTTCCAATTTTACGTGGGAGAAAACCCAAACAACCAAAGACCTATAATAATAATAATAGTAAAGTTGGAAAAACTGGCCTCAAATTTTGCAGACTTAAATTTAGAAAGACTGCTGTAAGATCTCCTGGAGAAGGGAGTTTTCTCCCGCTTAAGGTGTGAAGGATGCAAACTCCTATTGCAATTGTGCACTGCTGGGTCAAATTCTCATCTTAAGCCGGAGAAAAATTGGCTTGTTGGAGGTTCGCAAAAGATAATTGCATGGTCCCGGGGACACTGCAACCGTCAAAATTACAGGCCTGTAGCCAAGCATCCAAATTTTGATCACATGACCATGAGGGTGCAGCAAACGTCGTTAAGGGTGAAGGACAAGCATCAGTTGAGTTTTTCAGTGTCGTTATAACTTCTAATGGTCACTAAATGAGTGGTTGTAAGTTGAGAGCTACCTGTATTGCTTGGTCAAGCGTAGGTTGTAATTGTAAAGCAGGCGACGCTAATCCTTTCTTAAAAATGATGACTTTTAGGGCATGCCAGAGCAATGGGCCCGCTTGCTGCAGACGTCCAACATCACCAAACTGGAGCAAAAGAAGAATCCTCAAGCCGTGCTAGATGTGCTGGAATTCTACAATTCCAAAAAGACAACCAACAGCCAGAAATATATGAGTTTCACAGGTGGGTAACTTTCTTTAGACAAGACCAGGAAGGAAGGATGGAGTGGAGTGGAGTAGAATGTGGAGTGGAGCAGGGTGTAGAGTAGAATGTAGAGAGAGTAGAATGTAGAGAGAGTAAAGTAGAATGGAGTGAAGTAGACTGGAGTGGAGTGGAGCAGGATAGATTAGAGTAGAATGTAGAGTAAAGTAGAGTGGAGTAGAGTAGAGTAGAATGTAGAGTAGAGTAGAGTGGAGTAGAGTGGTGGAGTGGAGTGGAATGGAGTAGAATATAATGTAGAGTAGAGTAGAATATAATATAGGGTAGAATGTAGAATATAGAATGGAATGGAATGGAATAGATGGAATAGAATAGAAAATATGGAATGGAATGGAATAGACTAGACTAGACTAGACTAGAATAACAGAGTTGGAAGGGACCATGGAGATCTTCTAGTCCAACACCCCCCTCCCCCCGTTCAGGCAGGAAGCCTAGCCCTATACCAGGGGTAGGCAAGCTTGGCTCTTTTATGATTCATGGACTTCAACTCCCAGAATTCCTGAGCCAGCATGGGGGAACTATGGCCACTTTATGACTCGTGGACTTCAACTCCCAGAATTCCTGAGTCAGCCTGGCTCAGCTTGGAAACCTCTCCCTTTCCCCTCAGCATGGCTGGCTCAGGAATTCTGGGAGTTGAAGTCCACGAGTCATAAAAGAGCCGAGATTGCCTACCCCTGCCCTACACCATTTCAGACAAATGGTTTGAACACTTTTTCTGCCACAGCTGTTAAGTGAATCACTGCAGCGGTTAAGTTAGTAACACGGTTGTTAAGTGAATCTGTCTTCTCCCATTGACTTTGCTTGGCTGAAGGTTGCAAAAAGGAGGATCACTTGATCCCGAGACACTGCAACCGTCATAATTGTGACTCAGTTGCCAAATGTCTTGAGTTTTGATCACGTGACCCTGGGGAGGTTGCAATAGTCATAAAAATCTGAAAAATGGTGATAAGTCTCTTCCCCCCCATTGCTGTTGTAACTTAGAATAGCCACTTAAGGAATATTTGTAAGCCGAGGACTTACCTGTATTGTGTCATCGGCTTGTCTCCACTCTGATAAATAGGATTTTTAAGACAGCAATATACAAGCCATAAATTAGCTACGTCACACCCAATCCAAAGTAATTATTATTCCTGGCCTCTCTGTTTAAATTCTGTGTTATCTAAGTTTTATCATTCCTCCCACTCACCTTCACGAGGATCCATCCTCCTCCCTCTGGCACAGAGAAAGTACTTCATGAGATCCAATCTCAAAATAAACGGTTGATAGTTGTTGAACTGACGCAGCTATCCTTCTAGAAATCAGGGCAGCAAAAGAACTGATGTAATGTTTGGTACAACTGAACCTGAAGCAAATTAAAAGTCTGAGGGGCTGAGTTCAGAATAATCTGAATAAAAATACTTGATATTAAAAGGACAGTACCTTAGATGCAGATAAATAATTCACTGGATGACTTAAGACCCTGTAAGACCATGCTTGGAACATATTGTGTCCAGTTTTGGTCATCACAATATAAAAAAGATGTTGTGACTCTGGAAAGAGTACAGAGGAGAGCAACAAAGATGATCAGGGGACTGGAGGCTAAAACATACAAAGAACGGTTGCTGGAATTGGGTATGTCTAGTTTAACAAAGAGAAGGACGAGGGGGGACATGATAGCAGCCTTCCAGTATCTTAGGGGCTGCCCCAAAGAAGAGGGAGTCAAGCTATTCTCCAAAGCACCTGAAGGCAGAATAAGAAGCAACGGATGGAAACTAATCAAGGAGAGAAGCAACCTAGAACTAAGGAGAAACTTCCTGACAGTGAGAACAATTAATCAGTGGAACAACCTGCCTCCAGAAGCGGTGAATGCTCCAACACTGGAAGTTTTTAAGAAGAGACTGGACAGCCATTTGTCTGAAATGGTATAGGGTTTCCTGCCTGAGCAGGGGGTTGGACTAGATGACCTCCAAGGTTCCTTTCAGCTCTATTCTCTATTCTATTCTATTAGATAAATCACCGTATGATTTCTTAATATCTTCTGCCTTACCTCTAACAAAGAAGTGAATCCCAAGGGATATTGATATAATGTCTGGAGTACCCCCTCTAACATTCTAAGGCTCTAAGCTAGTGGTTCTCAACCTTTTTAATGCCGCGACCCCCAACTGGTCGTAAGTCGAGGACTACTCAACCGGTCGTAAGTCGAGGACTACTCAACTGGTGCAGCACTATTTGCAGAATGGGACTTTTGGTGGGCTCAGCAGGGCAGAGACAGCCTGAACAATTCCTATTGGCTTTTGAAAGCCAATAGAATTAGACTCTATTCAAGAGAGTCTATTCTATTGGCTTTCAAAAGGGGAAAAAGGAAAAAGGGAAAAAAATGGCGGACTGCGTTGTTTGGCGACCCCCATGAAATGGTCGTTCGACCCCAAATGGGGTCCTGACCCACAGGTTGAGAACCACTGCTCTAAGCCCTCATGAGAATTATAAGTGTTGATGATTTAACAGATCTGGAGGATACACAAGCATACAGCTAGATGTGTGTCTAGTTTCAGTTTTCATTCCCCCCCCCCACCTAATTTGATTTGAGTGATCTTTGGCATTAATGGGACACACGCCTAGTTGTGTGATGAGATTCTGTTTTTCTTCCAGATAAATCTGCAGAAGATTACAACTCCTCAAATACTCTGGTAAGTCGTATTTTGCTGCCTTAGATATCCAAATGTGAAATTCTTTGTAGAATGGGATGTGTGTAAACCTATTGTGAAATGTTAACTTTTTAAGAAGAGACTGGACAGCCATTTGTCCAAAATGGTGTAGGGTTTCCTGCCTGAGCAGGGGATTGGACTAGATGACCTCCAAGGTCCATTCCAACTTTATTATTATTATTATTATGGATCATCGCACAGTCAGCCAGATGTTCAGACTGGATTTGGCATTTTGTCTACCTATCGAGTCCTTACGCAGGACCTGGGATAGGCAGATGTGGATGTTTGATGGTATTACAGATATCGTCGCAGGATGGAAGCAGTTCCTAGTAAGGCTGCCTTTTGCAATTGACTAATAGCGAATTTGTCAATGCCAATGGTGTTCAAGTGGTGCGCCAGTTGTTTTGGGATTGCACCCAAGGCGCCTATGACTATTGGTACTACCCTTGCTTGCTTTTGCCATAGTCTTTCTATTTCTATTTGTAGGTCTTTGTATTTTGTTATCTTCTCCAGTTCTTTCTCGTCTATTCTGCTGTCTCCAGGCACTGCCACGTCCACTCTCCAGACTTTTTTGTCTTTCTTATCGACAATTGTTAAGTCTAGGATGTTATGTTGCAGGTGCTTGTCTGTTTGAATTCTGAAGTCCCAGAGCAGTTTAATTTTATCATTTTCTATGACTTTCTCTATTTTATGATCCCACCAGTTTTTGCAGATCTTCCAATGCACCATTGTTGCTACTTTATCATGCCGCTGCTTGTAGTCAGTCTGTGCAATCTTCTTGCAACAGCTTACCAGGTGGTCCACTGTTTCTTCAGTTTCTTTGCATAGGTGGCACTTTCTTCTTCTTCTTCTTCTTCTTCTTCTTCTTCTTCTTCTTCTTCTTCTTCTTCTTCTTCTTCTTCTTCTTCTTCTTCTTCTTCTTCTTCTTCTTTTTCTTCTTCTTCTTCTTCTTCTTCTTCTTCTTCTTCTGCTTCTTCTTCTTCTTCTGCTTCTTCTGCTTCTTCTGCTTCTGCTTCTGCTTCTTCTGCTTCTTCTTCTTCTTATTATTATTATCATTATTATCATTATTATAGCTGCAAACAGACTTCACAACACATCAGTCAATTTAGATCAGGGGTCTTCAAACTTGGCAAACTTTAAAACTTGTGGAATTCTGGGAGTTGAAGTCCACAAGTCTTAAAGTGGCAAAGTTTGAAGACCCCTGTTTTAGATTATGGAAATTCTGTGTAAATACATTGATTTCCAAGTAATGGTTATTGGTACATGTAGATATTTTTACTATTTGAATATTTGAAGAGCTGTCACAGAGAAGAAGGGGTCATCCTAGTCTTCAAAGCACCAGAGGACAGGACAAGAAGCAACCGATGGAAACTAATCAAGGAGAGAAGCAACCTGGAATTAAGGAGAAATTTCCTGACAGTCAGAACAATTAATCAGGGGAACAATTTGCCTCCAGAAGTTGTGGGATTTTAAGTAGAGACTGGACCACCATTTGTCTGGAATTGTATAAGCAGGGGTAGGCCAGCTTGGCTCTTTTATGACTCGTGGACTTCAACTCCCAGAATTCCTGAGGCAGCATGGGGGAACTATGGCCCCTTCATGACTTGGGGACTTCAACTCCCAGAATTCCTGAGCCAGCATGGGGGAACTATGGCCCCTTCATGACTTGCGGACTTCAACTCCCAGAATTCCTCAGCCAGCACGGGGGAACTATGGCCCCTTCATGACTGGTGGACTTCAACTCCCAGAATTCCTGAGCCAGCCATGCTGAGGGGAAAGGGAGAGTTTCCAAGCTGAGCCATGCTGGCTCAGGAATTCTGGGAGTTGAAGTCCACGAGTCATAAAAGAGCCAAGGTTGCCTACCCCTGGTATAGGGTTTCCTGCCTAAGCAGGGGGTTGGATTAGAAGGCCTCCAAGGTCCCTTCCAACTCCGTTTCTGTGACTGTGTGAAGGGGGTGGCCATCAGCCCCACCTGGCAGTGTGTGCAATTGGCCTGCCTTTATGGCCCTTTGCTGCTTCTGTTGTCACATGACCATGATTTATGATGTTGTTTTTGTTACCAGAAATCAGCATTTATTTCCACTTAATAACCATAAATATGTACTATATCAGTGGTTCTCAACCTTTTTAATGCCGTGACCCCCAACCGGTCGTAAGTCGAGGACTACTCAACTGGTGCAGCACTGTTTGCAGAATGGGACTTTTGGCGGGCTCAGCAGGGCAGAGACAGCCTGGACAATTCCTGTTGGCTTTTGAAAGCCAATAGAATTAGACTCTATTCAAGAGAGTCTATTCTATTGGCTCTCAAAAGCCAATAGAATAAAAGGGAGTAGCACAGCTAAGGAAAAGGGGAAAAAAATGGCGGACTGCAGTTGTTTGGCGACCCCCATGAAATGGTCGTTCGACCCCAAATGGGGTCCCGACCCACAGGTTGAGAACCACTGTACTATATCCATGGTCTTCCTTGTGGTGGCCTGAAATGCAGAAATCATGTACAAGCAGTCCTCGACATACAACATACACACAACATACAACAATTCATTTAGTGATGATTCGAAGTTACAACGGCACTGAAAAAGGTGACTTATGAGCATTTTTCACACTTACGACCGTCGCAGCACTCCCATTGGTCACGTGATCAAAATTCAGACGCTTGGCAACGGACTCATATTTATGACGGCTGCAGCGTCCCGGGGGGGGGGGTGTCACGTGATTCCCCTTTTGCGACCTCCCGACGGTGTTACCCATTTAACAACTGCAGTGGTTCACTTAACAAATATGCCAAGAAAAGTCGTAAAAATGGGGCAAAACTCAGGTCACAAATTTCTCACTTCACAACACAAAAATCCGGGCTCCGTTGCCGTCATACGTCGAGGACTACCTGTACTGTCTTATATTTGTTTACGTGGACATTTTTATGTTTGCACTTTCAGCGATAGACTATTTAATAGCAGGAGTAATGCAGATTTTATTTCCTTTAGCCAACACAACACAACTTAAAGCAGCCCCTGTAATTCTGGCTCAATTACAGCCATAAATTGAGGACTGCCTGCAATAAAATTCATGTCTCTCGCTGCCTATATTCATCAAAAGAAACTTGATCATTTGGCATTGAGTGGTTTACATTTTCCTGCTCCCTTTTGGCTTGATTAAAATGCATCGTCTTTAAGATTATTGGACAATAGCCATAATAATAAATCCAGCTATTCTGCACCAGGCAATAACAACAGTATGTGTCTGGAAGACCCTTTTGGATTGATTGCACTTAATGGAGAGCTATTATCCAATTTTGCTGACCGGGTTATGACAATATATTTACAGGCAGCAATCTATTATGGGAGGTGCACATACGCAAGGGTAGCAAAATTGAAAAGTCGCACCAGGATGTCCTGATAAATGCCTTCTGTGCATGTCTTGCGATGTTGCGTGCCTGCACAAAAGCTGTGTGGCTGCCACAGTGTGATGCTGCTCTCGTCACATTGATGTCAGTTTCCAGTTTTGTAGATCAGGGGTCCCCAACTTGTAGGCCACGGCATGGTAGCAGGCCGTGGCCTACTGGCCACCAGGCCACGGGACAGTCTCCAACGGCCAGTGCGTGCACACACACCCACTCACGGTAGCACAAAAATGGGACGCCGCTGTGCCTCGGGGCGCAAAATTGGGATGTGCTGCTCTTCGGGGCATGAAAATGGGACGCTGATGCGCTTCAGGGAACAAAAACGGGACACTGATGCACCTCGGGGCGCAAAAACGACTCCGCTGTGCCTCGGGGTGCAAAAACGGGCTGCCGCTGCAAATTGGGGTGTGAAAATGAGACATCGACGTGCCTCAGCACAAAAATGGGATGCTGCCGTGCCTCGGGGTGCAAAAATAGGATGACGCTGGGACGTGGAAACGGTGCTGCACCACACAAGAACGGGGCAAGGCTAGCAAGTATCACATGGATGCTAGCCCTGCCCCATTTGGGTCGCACGTGTGCTTGCGGCCCCACGCACGCATGTCAAAAGCGTTCTGCTCCCTTTTCCCTCTGGTCCGTCAACCGAGAAAGGTTGGTGGCCTCAGCTGTAGATGGCTGTGTTTGCTAGCATGTGAGGCCCACTCAAATAGGCCTGTTCGGAGACTGGCCACCAATTGCAAAGTGAGTGAGATTTGGCAGGGATTTTATCAGGATCCTTGGAACTACAGCTAGTCCTCAAGTTATGACTACCATGGAGCCCAATGCTTATGTTCCTAAGCCAGACATTTATTGAGCTTTGTCCTGTTTGCAACCTTGCTTGCCACAGTTGTTAAGTGAAACACCGCCGTGGTTAGGATAGTAACACAGTGGTTAAATGAATCTAGCTTCCCCTTTGACTTTGCTTGTCGGAAGGTCGCAAAAGGGGATCACACGACCCCGGGACTTTGCAACCGTCATAAGTACATGCCAGTTGCCAAGCATCCAAATTTTGATCATAGGATCATGGGGATGCTGCAATGGTCGTGAGTGTGAAAAATGGTCGTTAAGTCCCTATTTTTTTTTTTTTGCCCGAGCAGGGGGTTGGACTCGATGACCTCCAAGGTCCCTTCCAACTTTATTATTATTATAATATTAAATTACTAAACGAATGATTATTAGTTGAGGATTATCTTTGGTCCTAACATCTTGCTTTGACTCTTAGAGGCTCTCCAAGTTCTTACCCTATTGAGATTTTTCAGATGGGGGGGGGAAGGGAAATTCTTGACTAGAAGGCTGTAATTGCATTCATTTTATATTTTTTTTAATTGAACACTTTGAATGAAAGATATACCTTAGTAAGACGAAACTAAAAATAAAAGAACATAATACAGATAAATTAAGGACACAAATTAATGTCATGATTACGCAAAGGTTAGCATTTGTGGTCCCTTTTTTGGTGTGTGTGTGTGTGTGTGTGTGTGTGTGTGTGTGTGTGTGTGTTAGGGAACAGCTTGCCTCCAGAAGTTGTGGGCGCTTCATCACTGGAGGTTTTTAAGAAGAGACTGGAAGCCATTTGTTTGAAATGGTATAAGGCAGGGATAGGCAACCCTGGCTCTTTTATGACTCGTGGACTTCAACTCCCAGAATTCCTCAGCCAGCATGGGGGATCTATGGCCCTTTCATGACTGGTGGACTTCAACTCCCAGAATTCCTCATCCAGCATGGGGGACCTATGGCCCCTTCATGACTCATGGATTCAACTCCCAGAATTCCTCAGCCAGCATGGGGGAACTATGGCCCCTTCATGACTTGAGGACTTCAACTCCCAGAATTCCTCAGCCAGCATGGGGAACTATGGCCCCTTCATGACTTGTGGACTTCAACTCCCAGAATTCCTCAGCCAGCATGGGGGAACTATGGCCCCTTCATGACTGGTGGACTTCAACTCCCAGAATTCCTCAGCCAGCATGGGGAACTATGGCCCCTTCATGACTTGTGGACTTCAACTCCCAGAATTCCTCAGCCAGCATGGGGGAACTATGGCCCCTTCATGACTCGTGGACTTCAACTCCCAGAATTCCTGAGCCAACATGGGGGAGCTATGACCCCTTCATGACTCAGGGACTTCAACTCCCAGAATTCCTCAGCCAGCATGGGGAACTATGGCCCCTTCATGACTTGTGGACTTCAACTCCCAGAATTCCTCAGCCAGCCTGGGGGAACTATGGCCCCTTCATGACTGGTGGACTTCAACTCCCAGAATTCCTCAGCCAGCATGGGGAACTATGGCCCCTTCATGACTTGTGGACTTCAACTCCCAGAATTCCTCAGCCAGCCATGCTGAGGGGAAAGGGAGAGGTTTCCAAGCTGGGCCATGCTGGCTCAGGAATTCTGGGAGTTGAAGTCCACGAGTCATAAAAGAGCCAAGGTTGCCTACCCCTGGTATAGAGTCACCTGCTTGAACAGGGGTTGGACTAGAAGACCTCCAAGGTCCCTTCCAGCTCTATTTTGATTGAAGTTGGTTGTGTGAACATAGGCATTAAATGACAGGGTTTTCTGTCACTGAATAGTCTGAAATCTAAACTGTAAAAGTTTTGCAGGCCTAGGCCAGGACGTCACCTGTTCATTGTATGTTTGTCATTAGAAATGGTTCAAGTTTGCTTTGAAAAAAGGGGGACATAAATCCTGAAATAAGTGCGAGAAGAACTGAATTGGCAGGGCTAAAAATAATGCCGCAGATCTAACGTTATTTTATTGATGCAGCTATTGCCTTCTTTTTGAAAGAAAAAAAAGGAAAAAAAAGCACACTGAATCTCAAAACACCAAACAAACATGTCTGTGAAAGGGACTATTTTTAAAACCCAGCCTTTCCCAAACAACAGGTAAAAAGCCGGCATCTGTATTTAACACATTCGGATGAATCTGATTCTCTCACTCCCAAGCAATGAACATTTATTTTTAAATGAGCTAGTTTTTCCCAGGGGCTGTTTTCGCACATAGAGGGGAAAAGTGATAGCTTAAAGAGGGCAGCGTGCCCTAAGTTCTCAGGGTGATAGATTGTGTGAATGCCCTGTCCTACATCTAAACCCAAGCGGTGTTAGTTTCAAGCCGTTTCGTGTGACTTTCTGGCTGGGAAGAAAACTATGTAATCTGTTCTCTTCCAAGTGCCCAGTGCTCTTCAACAACTTGATCAACGATTTGGATGAGAGGATAGATGGGGCACTCATCAAATTTGCAGATGACACCAAGCTGGCAGGAATAGCCAACACTCCAGAAGACAGGCTTGGGATACAGGAGGACCTGGACAGACTTGAACACTGGGCGCTATCTAATAAAATGAAAGTCAATGGTAAAAAAAGTAAAGGTTCTACATTTAGACAAGAAAAACAAGAAAAACCAAATTCCCAGGTATAGTATAGGTCAGGAGTGTCCAACCCCTGACAATGGGAACAGTTAACCAGTGGAACAACCTGCCTCCAGAAGCTATGAATGCTCCAACACTGGAAGTTTTTAAGAAGAGACTGGACAGCCATTTGTCGGAAATGGTGTAGGGTTTCCTGCCTGAGCAGGGGGTTGGCTAGATGACCTCCAAGGTCTCTTCCAACTTTATTATTATGGATCATTGCATAGTCAGCCAGATGTTCAGACTGGATTTGGCGTTTTGTCTACCTATCGAGTCCTTACCCAGGACCTGGGATAGGCAGATGTGGATGTTTGATGGTATTACAGGTATCGTCGCAGGATGGAAGCAGTTCCTAGTAAGGCCGCCTTTTGCAATTGACTAATAGCGAATTTGTCAATGCCAATGGTGTTCAAGTGGTGCTCCAGTTGTTTTGGGATTGCACTCAAGGCACCTATTACTATTGGTGGTGGTGGTGGTATTATTATTATTATTATTATTATTATTATTATTATTATTATTATTATTATTATTATTATGTTATTGTTATTGTTGTTGTTGTTGCTGCTGCTGCTGTCCATAAAGACTTCCAGTATTGGAGCATTCACTGCTTCTGGAGGCAGGTTGTTCCACTGGTTAATTGTTCTCACTGCCAGGAAGTTTCTCCTTAGTTCTAGGTTGCTTCTCTCCTTGATTAGTTTCCACCCGTTGCTTCTTGTCCTGCCTTCAGGTGCTTTGGAGAAGAGCTTGACTCCCTCTTCTTTGGGGCAGCCCCTGAGATATTGGAAGACTGCTATCATGTCCCCCCTCATCCTTCTCTTCATTAGATTAAACTAAACTAAACGTATACCAAATCCTTGCATGAATCACAGCATTTGTTAAATAAATCCTGAGGTGGTTAAATCAACGGGAAAAGCTGAATTTGCTTAATGACTTCATGATTTGCTTGTGGCAGAAAGGTTATAAAATTCAGCGCGATTGACTTTTAACGACTGTCTCACTTAGCAACTAGAAATTTCCATTGTGGTCGTAAGTCGAGGACTTCTTGTATAGCCCGTTCTTTCTTTCTGCAGAGAATGGCAGTCTCACCTAGGGGTGAAATTGCTGGACGGGGAGGCTAGTCCGCCCTTGACTATTCAAGGCCGAGGCGGGAGGGATTTTGAGGCAATTTTGAGAAAAAATGTCCATACGTTACCCTGAGGTTCCGAGCAAAAGCTGCGATCTAAAAACCTAACAAATAACTCACTCAATCAGAATAGAGCTGGAAGGGATCTTGGAGGTCTTCTACTCCAGCCCCCTGCTCAAACAGGAGACCCTATACCATTTCAGACAGGTGGTTGTCTAGTCTCTTCTTAAAAACCTCCAGTGATGGAGCTCCCACAACCTCTGGTGGCAAGCTGTTCCACGGGTTAATGGTGCTCACTGTCAGGAAGTTTCTCCTTAGTTCCAGGTTGCTTCCAATTAAATTGAGAGTGTTATTTCCCCGCAGAATGTGAAGGCCGTGTCGGAAACTCCAGCCGTGCCCTCTGTTTCGGAAGATGACGACGACGACGAAGCTCTCCCCCCGCCGGTCATCGCCCCTCGGCCTGAACACACGAAGTCGGTGAGTGGTTTGGTTCCTTTTTGAGTGAGCCCTGGGAAATTATTTTGAAAATCGGTTTGCGGCAATTTGTGACGGGAAACTAAAAACGGATAAAAGGTTTGTGTCCGATTCCAGGTGCTCGTTTCCGTTTCTTTGCCAAGGGAGATGGTTGTCCGAAGACAATTTCCCCGGTCATGTAGCCAACACGGCTATAGGCCGGGGGTCTTTAAACTCGGCCCTTTTATGACTCGTGGACTTCAACTCCCAGAATTCCTCAGCCAGCGTGCCTGGCTGAGGAATTCTGGGAGTTGAAGTCCACGAGTCATAAAAGGGCCAAGGTTGAAGACCCCTGACTTAGCCACTTCTTCGCTTAATGATCAAATAGCCGGCCCCAATTGTAGTCACTAAACGAGGACTATCCGTATGCTGTTTATATGCTACTATTAGATGTGATACGATTTTATTGTCTTTGAGATGATAGATCAGGGGTCTTCAAACTCATCCCTTTTGTGACTCGTGGACTTCAACTACCAGAATTCCTCAGCCAGGCCTGCTGGCTATGGATTTCTGGGAGTTGAAGTCCACGAGTTATAAAAGGGCCGAGTTTGAAGAACCCTGCTATAGGCCAAAAGCTCACGGAACGCTGTTACCTTCCATTGAAGTGGTACCTATTGATCTACTCACATTTGCAAGCTGTCAACGCTGCTAATATTGAATATTCTTGCTTTGACAATATATGCAGAACCGTCTAGTATTTTTAGAGTTAAATCAGGTGACAGTGAAAGGGGAGGAGAATATAAGGAAAGCGAAAAAGAAACGGAAGTACCGTATATGCCGGTGTATAAGGCGACTTCCGCAAGTGTTAAAATTGGCGCCGAAGTCGGGGGTCGTCTTATACGCCGGAAATATTGGTAGTTTCCAGCGTATAAGGCGACATTCTAGGAATGCGACTCAGCGCCCAAGACGGGGGTCGTCTTATATGCCAGCATATACGGTAAACCTTTGCCCTCCAAGTTAATTGGAAGATGTGAATCATGACCCCAAAATAAGGGAGGGGAAATGCCTAGAATATGTGCAAAGGAAGGGAAATTCAGATCTTAGCATCCACCATGCTGTGCTGACATCTCTGTAATACTAATAAAGGCTTTTTAGGTTAAAAAAATGCCTGAAAGTTCTTTGAAGTGTTTCGTTAATCAGACACATCACACAAGCTTTCAAACTGCTACTGAGTTTTCCATGAAAATAAGTCCAGGCCCCCCCTTTTTTTTGGCCTCCAAAACAGGCACCAGGTCTTATTTTTTAGGGGGGGTGTATTTTCCACGGCGGTACCGACAGACCCACCCAGCCGTCCCACTTCTGCGGCCGAAGGAAATGCCGAGAACCAAGGATTGAATCCATAGCTCCATTCTCAGTTGCAGAGGCCTTTTCAGAAGGCCAGTGACGGCAAAATATAGGCCCTAGCTCAGTGGTGGCGAACCTGTGGCACGGGTGCCGGAGGTGGCACTCAGAGCCCTCTCTGTGGGCACGTACACCATCGCCCCAGTCCTAAGCCTTCAGCTGGGTTTTATAAAACCTTTTCGCTTTAGGCCTCCACCCCCATGTGCAAAAAAAAAAAAAAGGTTCGATCAGTCAATTTCAACTTCTCACGGGAAAAAAAAGATCTTGCAAAGTTGAAATTGATTGATTGAACTTTTTAGTCCCACCCAGTCTGCCCTTACCACTGCAGCCACACCCACCCAATTGGCCACGCCCACCCAATTGGCCACACCCAGCCAATGGGCCACACCCAGCCGTCAGTTGACGATGCGTAAGTGGGTTTTGGGTTGCAGTTTGGGCACTCGGTCTCTAAAAGGTTCGCCATCACTGCCCTAGCTTGATTTTTAGGCGTGCACCTCGGCCCAAAACTAGGGCTGCAGGAGCTGGAGCAAGGAACGGGAGCTCACCCCATCGTGTGGTGCTCAGGTCTCAAACGCGGCATGTCAGCTCTCCAGCTGGCAAGCTCAGCGGCTTTAAACGCTGAGCCACCGTGCCCCTTTGTGAAACTTCCCTGGTTTCATGGGAAACTAGGGAAGGGGAAAATGGAAAAATCCAACTGTATCACCTCAAAACCGAGAAGCATAAGAATTCTGGGGGGAAAAAAAGAAGGAAAAAAAGAAAGGAGGTCCGGGAGTTTTGTTGTGTTGCTCCGAATGTTTTCACATGACCCCAGAACACCACAATTGTCGTAAGTATGAGTCAGTGGCCAAGCATCTGAATTTTGATGACGTGACCGTGGGGGACGCTGCAAGAGTCGTGAAAAGTGTGAAAACAAGTCACAAGTCACTACTTTCAGTGCTGTTGTAACTTCGAACTGTCACCAAACAAACGGTTGTAAGTCAAGGACCGGGGAACAGAAGAGCCTATACAGTACACTGTTAAGATACAGTAGCAATAAACCTCCCTTTGCTGTCCTTTATCACCAGCCCCAGCTACTGAAGGTAGACTGCTACTGGTGCTGGAAGCTCCATTTTTGTACCGAATGAAGAACCAACTGCTGATCGTTCCGTTTTTAGCCCTTGGTTTTTAAGAAGAGACTACTAGACAGTCACTTATCTGAAATGCTGAAGGTTCTCCTGCTGGAGATAGAAGGGGGCTGGACTAGAAGACCTCCGAGGTCCCTTCCAGCTCTATTCTATTCTAGGGGTCATTCTAGATTTTGATGGATTTTTTAATGATTTTTTTTTTTTTGCAATTGTTTTATGTGCTGTAATCATGGACACCATGGAAACTACAGGCTGTGTTTCCTGTTTTATTACCTCCCTCTCACTCAGAGTCACTGTTACAAGATGGGCAGCTGCATAAATCAAATGAATTAATTAATTTGGATGCTGCTAGCTCTGTTCTATTCAATTATTCTTTGTTACGTGGGATCTGCTTTTTGCTGGTGGCAGCAGATTCCAGCAATATATCTATGATCTTTCTGTTATTGTTAATGCCTCTCTCTCTCTCCCTCCCTCCCTCCTCTCTCTTTCCGTCTCCTTCTCTCTCTCCCTCGCTCTCCCTCTCCCTCCCTCCTTCTCCTTCCCTTCCTCTCCCTCCCCCCTCTCCCTCCCTCCCTCTCTCCCTTCCTCCTTCCCTCCCTCCCTCTCTCTCTCCCTCTCCCCCTCTCCCTCCCTTTCTCCCTCTCTCTCCCTCTCCCTCCCTCCCTCTGTCCCTCCCTTCCTCCTTCCCTTCCTTCCTTCCTTCCTTCCTTCCATCCTCCTTCCCTCCCTCCCTCTTTCCCTTCTCCCTCCCTCTCTCTCCCTCCCTCTCTCCCTCCCTTCCTCCCTCCCTCTCCCTCGCTCTCTCCCTCTCCTTCCCTCTTTCTCCCTCTCTCTCTCCCTCCCTTCCTTCCTCCTTCCCTTCCTTCCTCCTTCCCTCCCTCCCTCTCTCCCTTCCTTCCTCCTTCCCTCCCTCCCTCTCTCTCTCCCTCTCCCCCTCTCCCTCCCTTTCTCCCTCTCTCTCCCTCTCCCTCCCTTCCTCTCCCTCCCCCCTCCCTCCCTCCCTCTGTCCCTCCCTTCCTCCTTCCCTTCCTTCCTTCCTTCCATCCTCCTTCCCTCCCTCCCTCTTTCCCTTCGTCCCTCCCTCTCTCTCCCTCCCTCTCTCCCTCCCTTCCTCCCTCCCTCTCCCTCGCTCTCTCCCTCTCCTTCCCTCTTTCTCCCTCTCTCTCTCCCTCCCTTCCTTCCTCCTTCCCTTCCTTCCTCCCTCCCTCTCTCCCTTGCTTCCTCCCTCCTTCTCCCTCCCTTCCCCTCCCTTCCCCTCTCCCTCTCTCCCTCTCTCTCTCTCCCTCCCTCCCTCCTCTCTCTTTCCGTCTCCTTCTCTCTCTCCCTCGCTCTCCCTCTCCCTCCCTCCTTCTCCTTCCCTTCCTCTCCCTCCCCCCTCTCCCTCCCTCCCTTCCTTCCTCCTTCCCTCCCTCCCTCTCTCTCTCCCTCTCCCCCTCTCCCTCCCTTTCTCCCTCTCTCTCTCTCCCTCCCTTCCTCTTCCTCCCCCCTCTCCCTCCCTCCCTCTGTCCCTCCCTTCCTCCTTCCCTTCCTTCCTTCCTTCCTTCCATCCTCCTTCCCTCCCTCCCTCTTTCCCTTCCTCCCTCCCTTTCTCTCCCTCCCTCTCTCCCTCCCTTCCTCCCTCCCTCTCCCTCGCTCTCTCCCTTGCTTCCTCCCTCCTCCCTCCCTTCCCCTCCCTCTCCCTCCCTCTCTCCCTCCCTCTCTCTCTCTCCCTCCCTCTCCCTCCCTCTCTCCTTCCCTCTCTCTCTCTCTCTTTCCCAAAAATGCAGATTTACACCCGCTCCGTGATCGAACCTCTTCCTCCAGCCCCCACCAGGGATGTGACGACCTCTCCCATCCCCTCCCCTTCCGAAAACAGCGTCACGCCCCCTGATACACTGGCGAGAAATGCCGAGAAACAGAAGAAAAAACCTAAAATGACCGATGAAGAAATCCTGGAAAAATTGAGTAAGATTTCTTTTGAAGTGGAACGTCGAGAGGGAAAGGAGAAGGGGGGGAAAAATACAAGTAGTCCTCGAATTACGACCACGGTTGAGCCCAAAAGTCTGTTGCTAAGCGAGACATTTGTTAAGTCAGCTTCGCCCCGTTTTACAAACTTTTTTTTGCCACGGTCGTTAACTGGATCACTTAAGTTAGTGACGCAGTTGTTAAGTGAATCTGGCTTCCCCCATTGCTTGTCGGAAGGTCGCAAGAGGGGGATCACGTGATCCCGGGACCCTGCAGCCGTCATAAATACGAGTCAGTTGCCAAGTGTCTGAATTTTGATCACGTGACTACAGGGGTGCTGCAACGGCCGTAAGTGTGAAAAAGGGTCATAAGTCACTTTTTTCAATGCCGTTGCAACTTCGAACGGTCACTAAACGAACTGTTGTAAGTCGAGGACAACCTGTATTGCATTGGGGTGGGGGGGGTGGGGGTTGCGGTATTTTAATTGTGATTGCCGACAAAATTATGCCTTGCCCTGTTTCGTGTTAAGCCGTTTCCTCCGGTGCTAACGGGCAAAGTGCAAGCTTTCGCACAATCGGTGTTTGAAGGCTTTCAGAAGTGTCTCCCTGGGCGGTTTGTGGTGTGATGTGTGATGCTTTGCCTCTCTAAATAGATGGAGTGTGTTAAGTGGGACTGTCAAAGCTAGAAAGGACTGGGAGACTCACAATTATAGGACAGGCAGTCCTCGACTTACGACTTACTGCCTAGCAACTGTTTAAAGTTACGATGGAGCACCCTAGGACCTGGATTCAAAGTCACAATGGCACTAAAAAAAGAGGCTTTATGGCTGTTTTTCAGACTGATCGCCCCGTGGTTACATGAGCAAATAGGAGTTGGCTAGGCAACTGGCTCATATTTATGATGGTTGCAGTGTTCGGGGTTAAGTGATTCCCACCTTTGGAGAAGCAAACTGTGTGAATAACAATGCAGTGAGCCGTGTGCAGATCTGTACAGTGGGGAAATGAAACAACCACTTCACAAACACACGGCGCAACATAGGAGAACAAATCTATCAGGACCAGATTCAGCAAGATTCTTAATGGTGGAAACAATGATAAATAAAAAAAGATATTGATAATAACAATAACAACAACAACAATAATAATAAAGTTGGAAGGGACGTTGGAGGTCATCTAATCCAACCCCCTGCTCAGGTAGGAAACCCTATACTATTTCAGACAAATGGCTGTCCAGTCTCTTCTTAAAAACTTCTAGTGTTGGAGCATTCACTGCTTCTGGAGGCAGGTTGTTCCACTGGTTAATTGTTCTGACTGTCAGGAAATTTCTCCTTAGTTCCAGGTTGCTTCTCTCCTTGATTAGTTTGCATCCATTGCTGCTTCTCCTGCCTTCCAGCGCTTTGGAGAATAGCTTGACTCCCTCTTCTTTGGGGCAGCCCCTGAGATATTGGAACACTGCTATCATGTCACCCACCCGTCCTTCTCTTCATTTAACTAGACATACCCAATTCCAGCAACCGTTCCTTCTATGGTTTAGCCTCCAGTCCCCTAATCATCTTTGTTGCTCTTCTCTGTACTCTTTTTAGAGTCTCAACATCTTTTTTACATCATGGTGACCAAAACTGGATGCAGTTTTCTAAGTGTATTACTGTGATGATAGTAATATGTGCACCAAACAATAAACAAGATGAATTTTATCAAAAACTACACAGGAAAATATTGGAAATGGAATATCAAAATATTTGTCTAGTAGGATAGTGCAATTGCGGATGGAAAATTAGATTACACAAGGAGTAAAATAGGGAAAAAAGGAAGAAAGAGACTCCCTAAAGCTTTTTTCCAGATGATAAGAAGAGATACGTGTACAGGGTGTCTGGAGAGAAAGGGACTTAAAAAAGACCCAGTATACATTTTATTTGAACAGATATAAATCATGGTCCAGAACTGATATGATATGGATGTTCCCTGAACTAAGAACCAAATATACAGGAGATTGAGATAGAACCCAATAATTGGGCTGACCATCATCTGATAAAAATGACCTGGAGAGGAGTAAAGAAGAAATGAAAGTGGACACTGAATCAATCGCTATTAAAAGATAAAAAAATTTATAGAAATGGCAGAAAAAGAAATGGATTTTTTTTTTTTTTTAAAGGACTAGCTTCAGTAGTCCATCTGCATTTAAAAGACAGCAAAATCCACATTTTGGACAAAGAGGACCGCTGGTTTGAAAGAGGGGTCAAAGAGGCCATCTGTGTCCAAATTGAATAGCCCTCTCTTAATGGGGGGGGGGAATACGCATCACCGATCTCCAGTCTACAACACAGTCCTTTCAGCAGTTCCAAGAAGGCTCCACACCTGTTTGCACCACTCAGGTGACCCTGAGGACACAGGTAAACCTCCAAGTGGCCTCAACAACACTCTAAAAGAAGGCAAATGACCGGCTGTCTGCAAGGAGTATAAATCCTTCCCTTCCCCACCATCCAGTCAGAGCTGAAGAAGCTTCTTGGATGCGAAGTGAAATGTCTTCAAAGAAGAAACAAGGAAGTCCAGTTGCTCTTGAAAAAAGCACCTTTAGGACAGTGATGACCTAGAGGACGGAGGATCTCCATAGACACCGTGTGAATAACTTAACAGCTGCAGTGATTCACTTAAAAACCGTGGCAAGGAAGGTCGTAAAATGGAGCAAAATTCACTTAACAACTGTCTTTTGTTTAGCGACAGAAATGTTGGGCTCAACGGTCGTTGTAAGTCGAGGACTAACTGTAATAGGCCCATCAGAACAATTTCTAACAGAAGACTGTGTGATTGACAAATTCTTAGATGAAACAAAGCAGGATGGGGTGCTAATATTCTGCTTATATTTTGGCAGGCAAAGCTTTGAACAGGGATTTTTTTTTACCTCAGAGATTTGTCTGGAAGTTCCCCATCCATACTTAGGCGATATTATCTTACTTGGTTTTAAAATGAAGGAAACTGGTATATCTGTAATTTACTGCTTGCCCAGTGAGTTTGTGCATGGATCAAGTTGCACTAAAAGGAAAAACATCAACACTGAAAAAAGTTACTGAAGTCTTAGTTCCGTGAAGTGAACTTTTAGGTTTTTTCCCTTTGAAAACTAACTGTATTTCCAAGAAATTAATGTCTGCTTAAATAACAAGAAGCTTGAACTGCAGAATTAGAATTTGATTTCAGTTTTTTGCTTTTTCTTTTAAAAGGAGGCATCGTGAGCATTGGGGATCCCAAGAAGAAATATACCAGTTTTGAGAAGATTGGACAAGGGTAAGTATTTAATTGTGAGCGTCTGCTTCTTCGGTACCGGTGGTCCTCGACGTAATGACCGTTCGACATTACAATGGCGCAGAAAAAGATGGCTTATGACTGTTTGACACCTGACGGTTGCAGCATCCCCATGATCATGTGATCAAAATTCAGATGCTTAGAAGTCAAGGGGGAAGCCGGATTCATTTAACAATCTTGTTGGTAACTGAACACCTACAGTGATCCACTTAACAACTGTGGCAAAAAGGTCGTAAAACGGGGCAGAAAGAACTGCCTTGCTTGCTGACAGAAATTTGGGGCTGGATTGTAATTGTGAGTTGAGGACTATCTGTACCCCCAAAACTGAGTTCGTCTTATCCACTGATGGGCTTATCTGTGAATATATTTTGTTTTGTAAAATATCTGTGCATCCGTATATACTTGTGTGTAAGCCCATCTGTGGATAAGCTGAGCCTTGCATGTTTAACTAAAATGGATAATGAAAAATGGACGATTCGTGGATTACCCACACATAAGCCAATTGTGAAAATTTAAAATATATGAAAATTGTGAGAGCCGACTGATCCACGGGGTCGCACATTTTACATGATATCTTTGCAAGGTAATGATTTAGAAGTTAACCAGTGTTCTGTCCCAGCCTATGTGAGTTCTTATTAACTCACAATGACAAACCCTTCTTTTAACAAGTAGGCTGGAAATACAGGAAAAACAAACTCCTTTTATTATTATGTACAGACCTGCGAAATGTCCCCAAAACAAAGGCAAACAAAACACAATGCAAACTGAAAATTGTCCAAAGGCAAACAGAGCAGGATTCAAACAGAGAATTGTTCACAGGCAAGGCAAACAGAACAGGATTCCATGAAACTTGAGTCCTTTGCAAATGGTTGCCTTCAGCAACCAGCACCGCCCACACCTTCCCTTTTTATTATACAGCCCCAAGGCGTAGCTTCTCAATGCCTTCTCCTCCTCCTTTGGAGTCGCCCCATTGCCTCCCTCTGTCCTGCTGTTGTTGCCTGTCTGCGTTTGTGAGCGTCTATGACAGTGATGGCGAACCTTTTAGAGACCGAGTGCCCAAATTGCAACCCAAAACCCACTTATACATCGTTGAGTGCCGGGTGCGTGTGGCCCATTGGCTGGGTGTGGCCCATTGAGTGGGCGTGGCCCATTGGGTGGGCGTGGCCCATTGGGTGGGCATGGCTGCAGTGATAACAGCAGACTGGGTGGGACTAAAAAGTTCAATCAATCAATTCCAACTTTGCAAGAACTTTTTTTTCCCCGTGAGAAGTTGAAATTGACTGATTGAACCTTTTTTTTTTTTTTGTACACAGTGGTGGAGGCCTAAAGCGAAAAGGTTTTATAAAACCCAGCTGAAGGCCTAGGACTGGGGCAGTGGCACGCGTGCCCACAGAGGGGGCTCTGAGTGCCGCCTCTGGCACCCATGCCATAGGTTCACCACCACTAGTCTATGATGTCTTCCAGCTGTGAGTCTTCCGAGTCTCAGCTGAGCACCAGTGGAGGGGCCAAGTTCTTTATCAGATTGTAAGTCCTGGAGCTCATGAGAGCCTTCCTCCGACTCTGATGGCTCTCCAGGCCCCTCCTCTGATTCCCCGGATTCAGCTGCCGGGTCCACTGGCTGGCACGGAATCACAACAGCCAGCTTGTATAATGTGAGATGAATGATGCAATGTTAGGAATGACTCAACAGGAGTCTGTATTCCTTTAAGAGTCTGAGTATAAAAGGGAAGTTTTTTGCTGGCGTCTTTCTCTCTCTCCTCCATTTGACTGCTGTAATTGCTGTATATTGGAGTTTGCTGAATTATCACCATGTGTATGTAATTGTTCTTTGTGTATCTTTGTAGATAGGGTGTAATATAAGCCACCATTTAAGACAAACCACTGTTTACTGTATTTACTCCTGGGTTACCTCAGCGCAATAAAACTCTGCATGCTCTGACAATTTTGGTTAAAAGTTGAGAATCAGCTTATCGGCAGATGGGCTTATCAACGCTTATACATGGCACTTGAGAAGCTTTTTCAAAAGAGATTTATCTTCTTTCTCTTTTTCCCTTTAGGGCTTCAGGTACGGTTTACACAGCGATGGATGTAGCAACTGCACAAGAGGTAAAGGCTCCGACAGGTGTGAGACGGGGTGCAGGTAGAGGGGACTGGAGGCTAAAACATATCAAGAACGGGTGCAGGAATTGGGTATGTCCGGTTTAATGAAAAGAAGGACCAGGGGGGGCCTGATAGCCACCTTCCAATATTTGAGGGGCTGCCACAGAGGGACAGAATCAAGATCACGTGATGTGTTAATATCACTTTATAAGTATATTAAAAAGCAGAGACATCACCCTGCCAACAAAAGTACGTATAGTCCAGGCCATGGTTTTCCCAGTTGCAATGTATGGCTGTGAAAGTTGGACCATAAGAAAGGCTGAGTGCCAAAGAATTGAGGCCTTTGAATTATGGTGCTGGAGAAGACTCTTGCGAGTCCCTTGGACTGCAAGGCGTTCAAACCGGTCAGTCCTAGAAGAGATCAACCCCGACTGCTCTTTAGAAGGCCAGATCCTGAGGTTGAAACTCAAATACTTTGGCCACCTAATGAGAAGGAAGGACTCCCTGGAGAAGGGCCTAATGCTGGGAAAGATGGAGGGCAATAGAAGAAGGGGACGACAGAGAATGAGATGGCTGGATGGAGTCACTGAAGCAGTAGGTGTGAACTTAAATGGACTCCAGAAGATGGTGGAGGACAGGAAGACCTGGAGGAGCGTTGTCCATGGGGTCGCGATGGGTCGGACACGACTTCGCAATTAACAACAACAAAGAGCACATTTGGAATATTGGTCGGTATAAAAAAATGCTTAACGACTCATAAAGTCACTTAACGACAGCAATGGGAGAGCCAGGATTGTGGTCATTAATGAGGCAATCCCATGGACGTCTTGCTAACAACCGCCACAACTTACAACTTCATGGGCAACCTCCATTACGGTCGTAAATTGAGGACTGCCCGTCTTTCTTTCTTTTTTCTATGTTATTGGTTTTCCAGTTTTACATTTAAGTATTTGGAAGGCAACGTGGTGATTGGGTTAATCAATAGTTCAATAACAAAATCTTTTAGTACATATCTCAGGTTACATCATCAAATGTTTCTTCTCTGTTTCCCTTAACATTTGCTATATCATATTTAAGCTAGTAAATTTCTAATTGTATCAAACTCAGCGAAAACTTCATTATCACATTTATCAATACAGTTTTTGCTTATACATACCTTAATAGAGCTTCATAAACAATCCATATCCTGTTACTAAGTTTTACCTAATTTTTAGTTTTTAATTACCATACTCCAATTTAATCTTTAATATGCATAGTATTTGAGTTTCGGGTAACCCAAATTTCCTTTATCTCACTTCATAAAAATTATAATATCTAAAATGCACATATTTCTTTAAGTAAGAAATATGTGCATTTTAGATATTATAATTTATTCTATTTCATAAATGTTTTTCTATTTATTCTATTTCATAAATGTTTTCTATTTCTCACCTTAGTGCAGGGCTTTTCAACCAGTGGTACGGGTACCACCTGTGGTACATTGGCACCTGGCAGGTGGTACGTGACCATTCTAGAAAAGTGGGAGCGGGGGAGGAGAATGAGCTGAACCAGTGGCAGCACCACACAAGCCTGAGCGAGAGACGGCTGGAGCTGCAGGGCTGTCAGGGCTCAGCGGAAGCGCCAGGATCAGCGCCAGACTCCAGCTGGACCTCGGCACTGATCCTGGCACTTCTGCTGAGCCCAGAAGAAGCGCCAATCAGCTGGAATGTTGCAGCATCTCCAGGGTCTTGTGATTTACATTCAGATGCTTGGCAACTGATTCATATTTATGATGGTCACAGTGTCCCAGGGTCATGTGAAGTGACCAAAACCTGCTGCAACCACCCAGCAGACAGGGGGAATAAAAACCAAACACCCCCCCCCACCCCACCCCTGCTGCCAATCCTCAACAGAAATGCTCACAACAATGAAAATCTCGGACAGGAGGAAGAGCGCGGCCGGGCGGGCAGGTGTCTTGCTCAGCTGTGGCTTGGGGGGCACTTTTTTCAGTGCCATTGTAATTTCGAACAGTCACTAAGCGAACTGTTGTAAGTTGAGGACTACCTGTACTTTATCACTTTTTTCCCTTTTTTGGGGGGGGGGTCATCAAGTTTTTGACACCTTGCTAGGCGACTGGTGGTCCTCGGATGTTGCCGTATCCCAGTGTTTCCCAAACTTGACAATTTTAAGGCATGAGGACTTAAACTCCCAGAATTCCACAGCCAGCAACGCTGGCTGTGGAATTCTGGGAGTTGAAGTCCTCATGCCTTAAAATTGTCAAGTTTGGGAAACACTGCCGTATCCTAAAAGTGGTACAGTGGGTGAACAGGTTGAAAAGCCCTGCCTTATAGTTTACTATTTTCCAACTAATATCTTCTGCCCCCATTGGAATTGTGATTCTCGCGACCAGATTGATGGATTCCTTTTTCCTTTTTCGTTTCCCCTCCCCTTCCAAAATGTAGGTTGCCATCAAACAGATGAATTTGCAGCAGCAGCCGAAGAAGGAGCTGATCATTAATGAAATTCTCGTCATGAGGGAAAACAAGAACCCCAACATTGTCAATTACCTGGACAGGTACCTGCGATTAAGATATGGGGGCGGGCCTTCTTCTTGTTTTACACAGCCACCTTGGCAGGAATCGACATTGTCTCTTCCCTTGATCCCCAAGATAACCGAAAGGGGTGGGGTGAGAAGACCGAAAAGTTTGACCCTGTTTTTCCCTTAAAAAATAAATAAATCATTAAATAAAACAGGGGAGCTGAGCTTGACACGGGGCGATGGGAGAGAAGTCAGGAGATCCCAGGGAATGGGACTGGGCCGCATCCCTGAAGTTGCCACCCTCATGGTGTTGATTTGAATTTAGTTGATTGGTTTATACATTGATAGAAGGAGAATATTTGTTGCTCAGGGTGGAAATGAGGGGTCCTTGATGCCTTTTGAAATTGGTAGTTTTCTTGCAGACGTTTCATGACCCAACTAGGGAACATCATCAGTGCTTGGAGGGAATGGGATTTATAGGGAGGAGGAGGAGGAGGAGGAGGAGGAGGAGGAGGAGGAGGAGGAGGAGGAAGATGACGACGACTGTGGGGTCCTTGGTGCTCTCTGAGCTTGATGGCTTTCTTGCAGACGTTTCATGACCCAACTAGGGAACATCATCAGGGCTAGAAGGAATGGGATTAATGGAGAGGAGGAGGAGGAGGAGGACTGTGAGGCCCTTGGTGCTCTCTGCTTGATGTCTTTCTTGCAGACGTTTCATGACCCAACTAGGGAACATCATCAGTGCTATGAGGGATTTTGGGCTCAATTATGGTCGTAAATTAAGGACCACCTGTACACTTCAATCTTTTAACTCTTATTAAACTTTCTCTTTAATGCCTTTTCTCTTGAAGCCCTTCTTCTGATTTTGTGCCTGCGTTTAAAAAACTCTTAAAAATAATCCCACTGAAAAACAGTGGACAGCAGGCTGACCAGCTCTTATTTATGTAATGTTGTCTTGTTTTGGCCATCATATGGACATGCTGCTTGTTGGCGAAAGGCAAAATGATCCTTGCTGCACCAAATATGTTGTTTTTTCCGGTTCCCAGAAAAAAATAATCAAACATGGTGAAGAAAAGATGTATTCAGATGCCTGGGGTTAAAATAATCTCCCTTTGGCTTTTGCTTCCTTCTCTTTGCTTCTTCCTCTCCTTGTTTTTGTGTTTATTTGTGGAGTTTAATCTTTTTTTTTTAAAGTAATCCTTTTTTAAAAACATATCCTGGCAAGTGGCTTGGGGTATTGTATCTGTTGCCATGGTGTCGTAGGCAGCAGCCAAAGCATCTCTCAGAGAGCTGTAATCTTAATTATGAAATACATGGGGAGCCATTTTATTCATCCATTTAATGGATTTAAATCTATCGAGCTATCAATAACTAAAACACGTTTCTAGGGCTGTCCAAATCCAAAACAGTTCTGGAATGCTTACAAAAGGGAGACTATATATATAAAGTGATAGCTGTTTATATCTATCTATCTATCTATCTATCTATCTATCTATCTATCTATCTATCTATCTATCTATCTATCTATCTATCTATCTAAATCTCTCTCTCTCTATATATATATCTATATAGCTATCTATATCTATACATAGGTCTTTGGTTATTCAGGTTTTCTCCCGCGTAAAATTGGAAGTGTCTTGGCGACATTTCGACGAAGTCCCATTCATCATCTACATGCTGGTGTTTTCGGCTTCGTGCTTCTAGGAACAATGTGTGATCGTAGTTATTTCTTCCTTTTAACTGCCAGTGGGGGTATGAACTGATTGGATGGGAGCTTGGCTGATTGGATGGGAGCACGAAGCCGAAAACACCAGCCTGAAGATGACGAATGGGACTTCATCGAAACGTCGCCAAGACACTTCAAATTTTACGCGGGAGAAAATCCGAATAACCAAAGACCTACATACAAACATCCGCGAAAACCTCAGAAAATCTATATCTATATATGTACATCTATATCTGTCTATCTCTTTATCTGTCTATCTATCTATTTATCTATCTATCTATCTATCTATCTATCTATCTATCTATCTCTATCTATCTCTATCTCTATCTGTATATCTATATATGTATCTCTCTCTCTCTCTCTCTCTCTCTTTCTCTCTCTCTCTCTCTCTATATATATATATACACACACACACATATATATATCTATCTATCAATATCTATCAATATCAATATCTATATCAATATCTATCTATCTATCTATCTATCTATCTATCTATCTATCTATGCAGGTCTTTGGTTATTCGGGTTTTCTCCTGCGTAAAATTGGAAGTGTCTTGGCGACATTTCAACGAAGTCCCATTCATCATCTTCAGACTGGTGTTTTCAGCTTTGTGCTTCGAAGCCAAAAACACCAGTCTGAAGATGACGAATGGGACTTCGTCAAAATGTCGCCAAGACACTTCCAATTTTACGCGGGAGAAAACCCGAATAACCAAAAACCTGCATACAAACACCCGCAAAAACCTCAGAAAACCTAACTAACTATCTATCTATCTATCTATCTATCTATCTATCTATCTATCTATCTATCTATCTATCTATCTATCTATCTCTGTATCGCTCTCTCTCTATCTCTATATATCTCTATCTATATATCGAACACTCCAGAAAGTGTCATCTCTAACCAGGAATCCAAACCTAGATTTGTTCCCCTGCCCTACCCCAAATTCATTCGTCTTGTGTTTGCGGAGTGATTTTGTGGCTTTATCTTGATGGCCTGCCTTATACCAGCTTGCTCTATTTTTATACATGGCTCCATATGTGGCTTTGGCAATGGGTGCGTTTGTGTGTTTGGCTGACAAATGCTGTTTCTTCGGCTCGCTGCAGTTACCTGGTGGGAGATGAGCTGTGGGTGGTCATGGAGTATTTGGCTGGCGGTTCCTTGACAGACGTGGTAACGGAGACCTGCATGGATGAAGGACAGATAGCTGCCGTTTGCCGTGAGGTAAAGATTTTTAATGAAAACTAGACAACCTGTGACCCTTTGGGGTTTCAGGGTTTCAGAGAAATTTCCTTCCCAGATTGCGCGATGCCCCCAACAGTGGCAGAGCTTCTAATGTACTGGAAAAGTTGTTTAAAAATTCAGAGAGATATTAAGAGATGCATTTGCCCTGAAAGTAGCCCAGGTTGAACTGTATAGCACGCAGAATCTTCCTTCCTTCCTTCCTTCCTTCCTTCCTTCCTTCCTTCCTTCCTTCCTTCCTTCCTTCCTTCCTTCCTTCCTTCCTTCCCTCCCTCCCTCCCTCCCTCCCTCCCTTCCTTCCTTTTCACTCTCCTTTACTCCTTCCTTCCTTCCATCCATCCATTCTGCCCTTCCTTCCTCCCTCCCTTCCTTCTTCCTTCCTTCCTTCCTACTCTACTTTACTCCCTCCCTCCCTCCTTTCCTCCCTCCCTCCCTCCCTCCCTCCCTCCCTCCTTTCCTTCCTCCCTCCCTCCCTCCCTCCTTTCCTTCCTTCCCAGTCTCTTTTACTCCTTCCTTCCATCCATCCATCCATCCATTCTGCCCTTCCTTCCTTCCTTCCTTCCCTCCCTTCCTTCCTTTTCACTCCTTTACTTCTTCCTTTCTTTCTTCCATCCATCCATCCATCCATCCATTCTGCCCTTCCCTCTCTTCCACCTTCCTTCCTTCCTTCCTTCCTTCCTTCTCTACTTTACTCCCTCCCTCCTTTCCTTCCTCCCTCCCTCCCTCCCTTCCTTCCCAGTCTCTTTTACTCCTTCCTTCCTTCCTTCCATCCATCCATCCATCCATTCTGCTCTTCCTTCCTTCCTTCCTTCCCTCCTTCCCTCCCTCCCTCCCTCCCTCCTGTTCTGGCTGTTCTCCTGGTGGCAGTCTCTTTGCTCTGTCCCCCAAGGTCATTCTCACATACCATTACCCCACCTCTGCCTTTCTGACACCAGCATCCTTAGGGGTGTGTCGGTACTGGGAAATGCGTAGATAGCCCTACAGACGCCCACAGACCTACATCTGCCTTTCCCCACAGTGTCTTCAAGCGCTGGAATTCCTTCACTGCAACCAAGTCATCCATCGGGACATCAAGAGTGACAACATCCTGCTTGGAATGGACGGGTCTGTCAAGCTAAGTATGTGGCTTGGATGATTGGCGACAACTGTGGGTCTGGGGGGGGGTGTCTTGCCTGTGGGGAGGTCCCCCTCCTAATGAAGGAATAGAACCCTTTGATTGCAACCCTGCGATCTAACATTAATTTTCAGTGGGCAACAGGTGAAAAAAATATTCATTGTGTTCCTAGAGAGGCACCACATTAATTCTACTTTGTTGGGATCTGTTGTCCTGCTCTTTGGACAGTAAATTCTGGGTTTTTTTGTTTATTCCTTTAGACTTTTATTCCATTGTTATTACTTTGTAAGTAACTCAAGGCAATGGGTATACATAATATTTCTTCCTCTTTTTTTCCGACCACGACATCCCTGCGTAGTGGGCTGGGCTGGGAGAGAGGAACTAGCCCAAAGCCCACCCAGTTGGCTTTCCTGCCTAAGGCAGGACTAGAACTCATAGTCACTTGGGGATTGAGCCAAAGACCCCTAACTGGCTTTCCAGTCTAAGGTGGGACTAGAATTCATAATCTCTTGGGGATTGATCCAAAGTCAACCCAGTCCTTTTTCCTGCCTAAGGCAGGACTAGAACTCATAATCTCTTGGGGATTGGTCCAAAGTCAACCAGTCCATTTTCCTGCCTAAGGCGGGACTAGAGCACATAATCTCTTGGGGATTGGTCCAAAGTCAACCCTGTCCATTTTCCTGCCTAAGGCGGGACTAGTACACATAATCTCTTGATGATTGGTCCAAAGTCAACCCTGTCCATTTTCCTGCCTAAGGCGGGACTAGAACTCATAATCTCTTGGGGATTGGTCCAAAGTCAACCAGTCCATTTTCCTGCCTAAGGCGGGACTAGAGCACATAATCTCTTGGGGATTGGTCCAAAGTCAACCCAGTCCATTTTCCTGCCTAAGGCGGGACTAGAACACATAATCTCTTGGGGATTGGTCCAAAGTCAACCCTGTCCATTTTCCTGCCTAAGGCGGGACTAGTACACATAATCTCTTGGAGATTGGTCCAAAGTCAACCCTGTCCATTTTCCTGCCTAAGGCGGGACTAGAGCACATAATCTCTTGGTGATTGGTCCAAAGTCAACCCTGTCCATTTTCCTGCCTAAGGCGGGACTAGTACACATAATCTCTTGATGATTGGTCCAAAGTCAACCCTGTCCATTTTCCTGCCTAAGGCGGGACTAGAACTCACAATCTCTTGAGGATTGGTCCAAAGTCAGCCCAGCCCATTTTCCTGTCTAAGGCGGGACTAGAACTCATAGTGTCTTGTTGATTGGTCCAAAGTCAACCCAGTCCATTTTCCTGCCTAAGGCAGGACTTGCTGTTCCTTTATTGGAAAGCACCTGTCAACCTTCAAAGCTCGCTTTGCTGGTGCAACAAAGATTTCTTAGCTTGCCAACGAACTTGGGAGGAGAATGGGGAAATGGAAGGCAGGTCTGCAGAGATAGAGAAGACAGACCCTGAGATTCAAGGACGATTCACCAGGTGCCTGGCCTGTCTCAGAGACCTTTTCTCATAACCATATATTTACACCTCATTGGGCGATGTGACCTGTTTAAGGATGGGAGGGGGAATTCTATGCTTTTACTATAGGCCAGGGATTTGCCAGAGCTGGTTTTACTTTCATATGTGCCGAAAAATGTATTCAATAAAGTTTTACATTAAGAGATTGGAATGTCTAGAAGGTTGGGTTGAGTATGTCAGTCGGACCTTGACAGCAGCAGGTTGAGGACCATTGGAGTAGACCAGGGTCTTCAAACTTGGCCCTTTTATGACTTGTGGCTGAGGAATTCTGGAAGTCAAAGTCCACAAGTCATAAAAGGGCCAAGTTTGAAGACCCCTGGAGTAGACCAAGCTTAGCATGAACCTTTTTCATTGATAAATCTTTCTTTCTTTCTTTCTTTCTTTCTTTCTTTCTTTCTTTCTTTCTTTCTTTCTTTCTTTCTTTCTTTTTTTGTTTTTTTCCTTCTCCAGCTGATTTTGGCTTTTGTGCCCAAATCACTCCGGAGCAGAGTAAGCGCAGCACCATGGTGGGGACGCCATATTGGATGGCTCCCGAAGTGGTCACGAGGAAAGCCTACGGCCCCAAGGTGGACATCTGGTCTCTGGGCATTATGGCCATTGAGATGGTGGAGGGGGAACCCCCGTACCTCAACGAGAATCCCCTGCGGGTAAGCTTTGGGCACCAGTGACGTAGGTTCTCCGCACTTAGCTTCAAGACAGAGCTGTGCCTGGGGGGGGGGGCAAGGCTCACCTTTCCGCCTTCAGTGACCCCTCCTAGCGAAAAGAGGATGGGAAACATTTTCTGTCTAAGGAGACAGAGTGAGTATTGGATGGAAGTATAAAGAGGCCTGTTTAAATGGCCCAACAAGCAGAGATCAAGAATTGGGGTTCCAGCTGGTTCTTTCTGCCATACGTGGTTCTTAATGCTTTTTGCATCATCCACTGGTTGCAATTCCCTGCTTTGCTAACCAAGAAATTGCTAACAAAAGAAATACACTGCCAATTGTTAGATCAAGAATTCAATTTTCCCTTCCTTCCTTCCTCCCTCCCTCCTTTCCTCCCTCCCTCCCTCCCTCTCTCTTTGTCCTTTCCTTCCTTCCTTCCTTCCCTCCCTCCCTCTCTCTTTCTCCCTTCCTTACCCTCCTTCCTTCGATCCTTCCTCACCCTCCTTCCTTCCTTCCTTCCTTACCCTCCTTCCTTTGATCCTTCCTCACCCTCCTTCCTTCCTTCCTTCCTTCCTTCCTTCCTTCCTTCCTTCCTTCCTTCCTTCCTTCCTTCCTTCCTTCCTTCCTTTCTTCCTTCCTCACCTTCCTTCCTTCCTTCCTTCCTTCCTTCCTTCCTTCCTTCCTTCCTTCCTCACTCTCCTTCCTTTCTTCCTTCCTTCCTTCCTTCCTTCCTCACCCTTCCTTCCTTCCTCACCCTCCTTCCTTCTTCATCCATCTTCCTCCCTCCCTTTCTTCTTCCTTCCTCCCTCCCTCCTTCCTTACCCTCCTTCTCCATCCATCTTCCTCCTTCTCTCCCTCCCTTTCTCCTTCCTTCCTTCCTTCCTTCCTTCCTTCCTTCCTTCCTTCCTTCCTTCCTTCCTCCCTCCCTCCCTCCCTCCCTCCCTCCCTTCCCCTGCTTTCTCTTATTCTCTATTTCTTTATTTTATTTCAGGCCCTGTATCTCATTGCCACCAACGGGACCCCAGAGCTACAAAACCCAGAGAAGCTCTCTCCCATATTCAGAGACTTCCTTAATCGCTGCCTGGAAATGGATGTGGAGAAGAGAGGTTCTGCGAAAGAGCTCCTCCAGGTAACATGGGGATCCAGACGAAGAGAGCCAGAATTTGAGTTCTTTTTTTGTTTTGTTTTTTACATTACGATTTACATAGTTGCCCATTTTACACCACAACGGCTGTACAGTAGGTCAGCGTTTCTCAACCGGGGCCACATTAAAGCACATGGACTTCAACTCCCAGAATTCCCCAACTAGCTAGGCTGGCTGAAAGAGCTATAGACTAGAGCAGGGGTAGGCAACCTTCGCTCTTTTATGACTCATGGACTTCAACTCCCAGAATTCCTGAGCCAGCCATGCTGAGGGGAAAGGGAGAGGTTTCCATGCTGAGCCCCGCTGGCTCAGGAATTCTAGGAGTTGAAGTCCACAAGTCATGAAGGGGCCATAGTTCCCCCATGCTGCCTCAGGAATTCTGGGAGTTGAAGTCCGCGAGTCATGAAGGGGCCATAGTTCCCTCATGCTGGGACAGGAATTCTGGGAGTTGAAGTCCACGAGTCATGAAGGGGCCAAAAGTTTCCCTCATGCTGGCTCAGGAATTCTAGGAGTTGAAGTCCACAAGTCATGAAGGGGCCATAGTTCCCCCATGCTGCCTCAGGAATTCTGGGAGTTGAAGTCCGTGAGTCATGAAGGGGCCGTAGTTCCCTCATGCTGGGACAGGAATTTTGAGAGTTGAAGTCCGTGAGTCATGAAGGGGCCATAGTTCCCTCATGCTGGCTCAGGAATTCTGGGAGTTGAAGTCCAGAGTCATAAAAGAGCCAAGGTTGCCTATCCCTGGACTAGAGTCTCAAAAGTGTGGGATTAGGAGTGAGGAAAGCAGATTGCTACCTACCCCCCAAAGCGACAACTCATGGCTGTCCCTCTCATTTCAAACCAGCCTATCTTGTAAGGCGGCCCCTGTGGGGAAAAAAGAGGAGGAGTGGGGACACCATAGATGCCATCTTGAAATCCTAAATAGGAAAATAGGATGGAAATAAAAGAAATGAAAGGTGCTTTTTCAAGAGGCAAGTGGACTTTTCTTGGTTTCTCTCTGAAGATATTTCGCTTCTCATCCAAGAAGCTTCTTCCGTTCTGACTGGATGGTGGGGAATGGAAGGATTTATACTCCTTGCAGACAACTGGTCATTTGCCTCCTTTTCGAGAGTCGTTGAGGCCACTTGGAGGTTTGTCTGTGTCTTCAGGGTCACCTGAGTGGTGCAAATGAGTGTGGAGCCTCTTTAGAACTGCTGAGAGGACTGTGTTGTGGAGTTGTACTTTCTGCAGGATGTTTCAGCAGTTCCAAGAAGGCTCCACACCCATTTGCACCACTCAGATGATCCTGAGCTTAACTTCCAAGTGGCCTCAACGACTGTCTAAAAGAAGGCAAATGACCAGCTGTCTGCAAGGAGTATAAATCCTTCCATTCCCCACCATCCAGTCAGAGCTTGAAGAACCTTTTTGGATGTCTATGGAGCTTCTCTGTCCTCCAGATCATGGCTGTCCCAAAGGTGCTTTTTTCAAGAGGCAACTGGACTTTCTTGTTTTTCTTTGAAGACGTTTCGCTTCTCATCCCAGAAGCTTCTTCCGCTCTGACAAGATGGTGGGGAATGGAAGGATTTATACTCCTTGCAGACAGCTGGTCATTTGCATCCTTTTAGAGAGGCCATTTGGAGGTTAATCTGTGTCCTCAGGGTCACGTGAGGGATGCAAATGGGTGTTGCCCAAGTCAGAGCTGAAGAAGCTTCTGGGATGAGAAGCGAAATGTCTTCAAAGAAAAACAAGAAAGTCCAGTTGCCTCCTGAAAAAGCACCTTTGGGAGAACCATAACCTGGATGACGGAGAATCTCCATAGACCAGTGGTTCTCAACCTTTTTAATTCCGCGACCCCCAACCAGTCATAAATCGAGGACTACTCAACAGTCGTAAGTCGAGGACTACTCAACTGGTGCAGCACCGTTTGCAGAATGGGACTTTTGGCGGGCTCAGCAGGGCAGAGACAGCCTGGACAATTCTTATTGGCTTTTGAAAGCCAATAGAATTAGACTCTATTCAAGAGAGTCTATTCTATTGGCTTTCAAAAGCCAATAGAATAAAAGGGAGTAGCACAGCTAAGGAAAAGGGGAAAACATGGCGGACTGCGTTGTTTGGTGACCCCCGTGAAATGGTCGTTCGACCCCAGATGGGATCCCGACCCACAGGTTGAGAACCACTGCCATAGACAAAGAAACTAACCAACTTAATTCCATCAATCTATATTAAGAGTCTGTGGTTTTGTTGCCTCGTTAGCTTTGCTGAATAACAGAAATGTTAACTAACCCAGTGCTTTTCAAGCGCGGCCTCTTTACGATGAGTGGACTTCAACTCCCAGAATCCCCTTGTCGTGGCTTAAAAGCTAATCTTTGACCTACATTCGTTTAGTGACCGATCAAAGTTACGACCACGCAGGAAAAAGTGACTTGCGACCGGTTTTCACACTTAACAACCGTTGCAGCATCCCCACAATCACGTGATCAAAACTTCAAGACGCTTGGCGACTGACTCGTATTTATGACGGTCGCCGCGTCCCCGGGGTCACGCGATCCCCTTTTTGTGAACTTCTGACAAGCAAAGTCCATGGGGGAAGCCAGATTCACTTCACAACCATGTTACTAACTTAACAATTGCAGTGATTCGCAACCGCTGTGGCAGGAAAGGTCGTAAAACGGAGCAAACCTCACTGAACCACTGTCTCACTTAACGACAGAAATTTTGGGCTCAGTTGTAAGTCGAGGGCGACCTACAAAAGAGCGTTGATGGCATTTCATCCTTCGCTTTTCCAAACAGCAACGCGGCAACTTTATAAATACGATGCACGTTTCTTTTCTATTGACCAATTAAAAGACCCACAAAAGTTGTGACTGTTTTCCCAAGTTGCTTTTCTCTCTCTCTCTCTCTCTCTCTCTCTCTCTCTCTTTTCTAGCACCAGTTCCTGAAAATTGCCAAGCCCCTGTCCAGCCTCACCCCTCTGATCGTTGCGGCGAAAGAGGCCACGAAGAACAACCACTGAAAAAAAACAACAACACAACCACACCAGCTGTTTCCGAATCCTTCCGCTAACGGTTTCTGTTTTATCCTTTGGATTTTCTTTCTTCTTTTAAGAGACCATTTTTAAAAAAGTTCCTCTTTTGGGATTTCTGCCCTATGCAGAAGCCTTTTAATCTTTTTTAATTTTTTTTTGGGGGGGGGGGGGGTAACTGGAATTGTGAAAATTGGACGGAGAATTCAGAAACCGACGTACGGCACGGAGTAACTCTGAACTTTGTTGCAAGACCCCGTGAAAAGGTTGTTCTGATCTCAACCGTTGCGTTCTTGCCAAAAACGAACCCTGCGGGCTTGTTGATCTTTTAATGTACGGATTTCGGAACGAAAAGGAAGAATATTCCGCAGAAACTTTTTAAATGACTTTTTTTTTTTCCTAAGCAAGATACAGTTCTTTAGGCGTTCTTTATTACCTCTCAGAAAGCCTGGTTCTTAAAACTACTGAAAGTTTGTTTTAAATTACTTGAAAACTAGGACAGGCAAAAGAGAAACGCGGACGGTTTTTATAATCTCAAGGGGAAGAGGTTGATGTATATCCTCTGATTCCGCTGGATGTTTGGACAAAGTTTGCATGCGTCAAAGATTGAAGTTAGTTAGGATGAATACTACCATCCCCACCCTCCCACCCCTTTTTGGAAGATTAATTAATCGGTGATGATCATGCAATGTGTTTGGGGTTTTGTGTGAGTTGTATGTGTGTTTATACCCCTATGTGTGTGAGTGTGTGTATGAGAAAGAAATTGTCCTCTTAATTAAATCCCGACGGCTTCCCCCCCCCCCCAATCCTAACCTGCAGTTTAGATCTGCCTAATCTGCCTTGTTTGGTTAATAGATTAGAACAGGACTTTCCGGATGGATTGGGACTTCAGTTCCCAGAATCCCTCTTGAGCAAAGGAATTATGGGAGTTGAAGTCCAGGGCAGCTGGAAAGTGCCACGGATGGGGGAAAGCTGCTGCAAGTGGTCTTAGTTTTTTTATGAGATTAAATAATACAGAAATTTGCTCCTTTGACCCTTTCTTAAAAAATAGGGCTACGCAAATCCTGAGAATTGCAGTGAAGAAAAAGGTTGGTTTTGAGGGAGTATTTCTTTGCTGCTTCTAGCTCTGGTAAAGAATATCGTGGTTTCCCATTTTGAAATTTGAAAAAAAAAAACAAAAAACCCCCGACTCTGTATATCAGGACTTGTTTATCTGGGCCTTTGAGCTGCTGAGAATTCAGTCTTTACAGATCCAGGTACGGGTGAGGCATCGGGCATACCAGGAGCTTTTGTGTAGAAAAACCTTGTAATTTGTGCGATACGAAAGCGATGGATGCCAAATCAGGTTTTGAATAAACTAGATTGTGGATGTTTCACACCGATTCAAGTTTGTAAAAGGTGAGAACGCCAGAAGGGAAAAGAATATAAATGCATGGAAAACGAGGCTGGGACAGGTTTTGACACAAACTAATATAAAAAGCATCAAGAGCCCAAGCTTTGATTGCAGTCTGGAACTCCTTTTTCCATATGCTGAAAATAGACTAGCCCTCTGTGTGCAGTTGAGACAGGAAAGAGTATTCCAAAGCATGTGCAAAGAGCTCTCTCTCCTCTACAGGTATTCCTCCATTTAACAACAGTTCATTTAGTGACTGAAGTTAACAATGGCACTGAAAAAAAATGACTGTTTTTCACCGTTGCAGCATCCCCGTGATCACGTGATTAGAATTCAGATGCTTGACAAGTGACTCATATTTATGACGGTTACTGTGTCCACGTGATCCCCTTTTGTGACCTGTCAAGCAAAGTCCATGGGGAGGCCAGATTCATTTCACAACCCTCTTACTAACTTAACAACGGCAGTGATTCACTTAACATTTGTAGCAAGAATAGCAATAAAATAGGGCAAAACTCACTTAACAACGGAAAGGTTGAGCTCAATTGTTGTAAACTGAGGGCTACCGTCCTATACCTTGCCAGGAGGTGTTTATTTACATTTCCTGCTTTGTGTCACGATGAGCCCTCAGGGTGGTTCACATCGTTCAAAAGCCAAAGCAAAATGCAGGTAGTCCTCAAGTTATGTCCGTAATGGAGCCTGCCCATCACGGTCATAAAGCGGGCCAGTGCATGACTGATCCACTTTTAATGGTCTTTTTGGCGGCTGTCATTAAGTACGGAATGCTACAGTTGTTAAGTGAGCCAATTGTTTGGTATGGGTGTGGTTTTGTCAAAAGTCAGACGTAAATGCTGGTTTTTGGCAAAACCTTTATAAAAGTGCATTCACATGAACCCAGGACGCTGCAAACAGCCATAAATGCCGGTTGCCAAGCACCCAAAAATTGATCATGTGATCTGGGGAGAGTTGGAACTTCAACTACTATGTTTCCCCGAAAATAAGGCCTACACCAGGAATAGGCAACCTTGGCTCTTTTATGACTCGTGGACTTCAACTCCCAGAATTCCTGAGCCAGCCATGCTGAGGGGAAAGGGAGAAGTTTCCAAGCTGAGCCACGCTGGCTGAGGAATTCTGGGAGTTGAAGTCCACGAGTCATAAAAGAGCCAAAGTTGCCTACCCCTGGCCTACACCAACAATAAGCCCTAGCTTGATTTTGGGGAGTGGGTCCAATATAAGCCCTACCCCGAAAATAAGCCCTAAAAATGAAGCTAGGGTGTTGGTGGGGGGTGGTGGAGCTGCAGCCAGGCCTCGCCAGCCCACTTCTTCTGAGGCTTCTTCTGTAGCCAAGCCTGCATTTCTCAGTCACAGGCCTTTCCAGAAGGCCTCTGCAGCTGAGAACCAAGCTATGGATTCAGTCCATAACTCAGTTCTGCAAGATCTCTGCAGCCGAGCACCAAGTTATGGATTGAATCCATAGCTCAGTACTCGGCTGCTTAAGCCTTCTGGAAAGGCCTGACTGCAAAATGCAGGCCCGAAAGCAGCTGCAGAACTTTGGCCCCAGAAGAAGTGGACCGGTTGGGTGGGGCTGTCGGTGCTGGAGGTGAGGGAAGGTCTACCCTAAAAATAAGACCTGGCGCCTCTTTTGGAGGCAAAAAAATAATAATAAGACCCGATCTTATTTTCGGGGAAACAAGGTATGGGTTATACATATCCCTCTGGTACGTCCATTGGAATTTGAAATCATCACTAAGCAAATAGGCAACCATAAAACAAGGACTACCTCCATAAAACTATAATTAATAATAAAAGTAAACATTTGTAGCTCAGAGCTGAATGAGGGTTTCAAGAAGACAACAAAGCTTGGAGTATATTCTCATAAGTTAACAACAAAACAGATAAGAACTTCTAAAAGGTAAACATTTTCTTGTCCAGTTGTGTCCAGGGTGCAATGCTCATCTCAGTTTCTTAGCCAAGGGAGATCGTTGTCTGAAGACAATTTTCCAAAGGCGCATAGGACGGCATTATCTTCCCATCGAAGTGGGGCCTGTTTATCTACTCGCATTTGCATGCTTTCAAACTGCAAGGTGGGCAGGAGCTGGAACAAGGAACGAGAGCTCACCCCGTCGTGCAACGCTCAGATCTCGAACTTGGGCTGTCAGATCTCCAGCTAGCAAGCTTGGTGTCTTTAACCGCTGAGCCATCGCACCCCTCTTAGGAATATCTAGGGGTACGTCAAATGTCCTGTGCGTTCCCCAGCAATTTTGAGTGGTCTGCCCAAATGCATATTTCATCTGAATGTGGAACCTGGGTTAGATGCAGGCACAAGCCAAAAAGTATGTCTCAGGCACCTGGGGTGGGAATCATGAGAAGAGGATTGTCCTAGTGGACAATCACTTAAATAGGAGCCAGCCGTCTGCTGCAGCTGCCAAAAAAGCCAAAACACTTCTAGGCTGCATTAACAGGGATAGAATGAAGATCATGTGAAGTGTTAATGCCACTTTACAAGGCCTTGGTAAGGCCACACTTGGAATCCTGCATCCAGCTTTGGTCACCACGATGTAAAAAAGATGTTGAGACTCTAGAAAGAATACAGAGAAGAGCAACAAAAATGATCAAGGGACTGGAGGCTAAAACATATAAGGAGCGGTTGCTGGAATTGGGTATGTCTAGTTTAATGAAGAAAAGGACGAGGGGGGACATGATAGCAGCGTTCCAGTATCTCAGGGGCTGCCCCAAAGAAGAGGGAGTCAAGGTGTTGTCCTGAAGGCAGGACGAAGCAACGGATAGAATCTAATCAAGGAGAGAAGCAACGTGGAACTAAGGAGAAATTTCCTGACAGAACAATTAATCAGTGGAACCACCTGCCTCCAGAAGCTGTGAATGCTCCAGCACTGGAGGTTTTTAAGAAGAGACTGGACAGCCATTTGTCTGTAATGATATAGAATTTCCTTCCTGAGCAGGGGGTTGAACTAGATGACCTCCAAGGTCCCTTCCAACTTTATTATTATTATTATTATATAGTGACCAAAGTAAAACAGTTATATAGTGACCATTCAAACAGCACTGAAAAAAGTTACGGCTGTTTTTCACAGTTACGACCTTTCCAGCATGCCCATGAACATGTGATCAAAATTCAGATGCTTGACAATTGGTTCGTATTTATAACTTGCTATGTCCCAAGGTCACGTGATCCACTTTTGGGACCTTCAGAAAAACAGTCAATGGGGGAAACCAGATTCACTTAACAACTGGGTTACTAACTCATCAACCGCAGTGAATTCACTTCATAACAGTGTCAAGCAAGGTGGTAAAATGGGGCAAAATTCACTTGACAGATGTCTCACTTAGCAACAGAAACTTTGGGCTCAGTTGTGGTCGTAAGTCGAGGACTACCTGTACTTGTGTTATGCTGTGCTTGAATCCAAGTTCTGCGGTGGTCCTGCTGTGGAGAGAATGGGAAGGGGGGACAAGATACCCCAGTTGTGCTCTACTCCACAAGACCTGGAATTTCTTTTGGACGCAACTTGGAACACACGAGGAATCGCAGGCCTGGGTCATCTGGATCTTAACCTCTTGGAACTGGTCCAGCTACACATGTCGAGCATGGTGGCAAAGAATAGAATAGAATAGAATAGAAAATATGGAACGGAATAGAAGAGAAGAGAAGAGAAGAGAAAATATGGAACGGAGCAGAATAGAAATGGAATGGAATGGAATAGAATAGAATAGAATAGAATAGAATAGAATAGAATAGAATAGAATAGAAAATATGGAATAGAATAGAATTAGAATAGAATAGAATAGAATAGAAAATATGGAACAGAACAGAATAGAATTAGAATAGAATAGAATAGAATAGAATAGAAAATATGGAACGGAATAGAATAGAATATGGAATGGAATGGAATAGAATAGAATAGGAATAGAATAGAATAGAAAATATGGAACAGAACAGAATAGAATTAGAATAGAATAGAATAGAATAGAATAGAATAGAATAGAATAGAATAGAATAGAAAATATGGAACGGAATAGAATAGAATAGAATAGAATTCTTTATTGGCCAAGTGTGATTGGATACACAAGGAATTTGTCTCTGTTGCATAAGCTCTCAGTGTACATACTATAGATCCATCCATACAGTTTCAAAAGCCATGATCACTTTGTCCAAGACACACAATAGATGCTGCAATATGTACATTTAATCAGTTTGCAAGAACCTTTAAGGAGAGGTGCACCATTGGATATTTGGTGTTATAGATAAATTGGTTGTTTTAGTTGAGCCAGCATTGTGCTGCAGCTGCCAAAAAAGCCAAAAACAGTTCTAGGCTGCATTAACAGAGGGATAGAATCAAGACCATGGAAAGAGTTAATACCACTTTACAAGGCCTTGGTAAGGCCACACTTGGAATACTGCATCCAGTTTTGGTCACCACGATGTAAAAAAGATGTTGATACTCTGGAAAGAGTGCAGAGAAGAGCAACAAAGATGATCAGGGGAGCGGAGGCTGAAACATTACAAGGAATGGTTGCAGGAATTGGGTATGTCTAGTCTAGTGAAAAGAACTAGGGGTGACATGATAGCAGTGTTCCAGTATTTGAGGGGCTGGGGGAGGAGGGAGTCAAGCTATTCTCCAAAGCACCTGAAGGCAGGACAAGAAGCAACGGATGGAAATTAATCAAGGAGAGAAGCAACCTAGAACTAAGGAGAAACTTCCTGACAGTTAAAATAATTAATCAGTGGAACACGCTGCCTCCAGAAGTTGTGGGTACTCCAACACTGGAAGTTTTAAGAGGACCATTTGTCTGAAATGGTATAGGGTTTCCTGCTTGAGCAGGGGGTTGGACTAGAAGACCTCCAAGATCCCTTCCTGCTCTGTTATTCTGCTTGTTGTTGGGAAAATAGGAAGAGGAAGGAATATTAAGCATGTCTTCTGCTTTAAGTTACTTGTAAAGTAATAAAAGTGGGATACAAACAAAAACACAAATAAATACTGTATCTTTTCTGGGGCATGATTCTTTTTTGGGGGGGGCTCAAAGGTCTGGATTCTCCTCTTATATTTTTAATTGTAAGCCATCCTTCAAAGGATGTTCTCTAAATGTCAAGCTATTTGGGAAGGATGTGATCCATAAAAGGTCCTGATTGGCTGAAGATGGTGGATTGTGACGTCAGATGCAAGGCAGTTTCTGACAGTTGGGCTTGAACTCATCTCTGGTTGATGCTGGGCTGTCTGGGAGAGGCCATTTCTCTCGTGGGAATTGAGGATCTTTCGGTGAGTAGGCAAAATGATGGTTTCTCTGATCCCCACAATAAGCAAGCATCCCATCAAGAACCTTGGATGATGCTGGGACCCAGTTCTGAAGAATGTGTCGATTTAATTTCTTTTAATTGGCATTTTGGTGTTAATCACTGCTCATCTGGGGGTTGATTGCTGGTGCGGAGATATTTTGATATTTTTGTTCGGTTTGTCAATTCTCTTTTGCATAGTATTTAGGTATTGTTTATGTCTATGTGTCTATTAATGGCCAATTAGGCAGAGCGCCAGGCTTCCAGGAAATCTTTATCATTTCTGGACTTAGAATAGAATAGATTAGAGCTGGAAGGGACCTTGGAGGTCTTCTAGTCCAGCCTTCTGCTCAAGCAGGAGAACCTATACCGTCTGAGACGGATGAATGTCCAGTCTCTTCTTAAAAATCTCCAGTGATGGAGCGCCAATGATTTCTGGAGGCAAGCTGTTCCACTGGTTAATTGTCCTTACTGTCAGGAAGTTTCTCCTTAATTCCAGATTGCTTCTCTCCTTGATCAGTTTCCAACCATTGTTTCTCGTCCTTCCTTCTGGTGCTTTGGTGAACAACCTCTGCTTTGTGGCAGCCCCTCAGATACTGGAATATTGCTATCATGTCTCCCCTATTTCTTCTTTTCTTTAGACCAGGGCTTTTCAACCTGTTCACCCATTGTACCACTTTTAGGATATGGCAACATCCGAGTACCACCAGTCACCTAGCAAGGTGTCAAAAACTTGATGACAAAAAAAAAGGAAAAAAGTGATAAAATACAGGTAGTCCTCAACTTACAACAGTTTGCTTAGTGACTGTTCGAAGCTACCATGGCACTGAAAGAAGTGCCCCCCAAGCCACAGCCGAGCAAGACAGGCCCGGTGGCGCTCTTCCTCCTGTCCGAGGTTTTCATTGTTGTGAGCATTTCTGTTGAGGATTGGCAGCAGGGGTGGGGTGGGGGATGTTTGGTTTTTATTCCCCCCATCTGCTGGGTGGTTGCAGCAGGTTTTGGTCACTTCACATGACCCTGGGACACTGTGACCGTCATAAATATGAATCAGTTACCTAGCATCTGAATGTAAATCACAAGACCCTGGAGACGTTGCAACATTCCAGCTGATCGGCGCTTCTTCTGGGCTCAGCAGAAGTGCCAGGATCAGCGCCGAGGTCCAGCTGGAGCCTGGCGCTAATCCTGCCGCTTCCGCTGAGCCCTGACAGCCCTGCAGCTCCAGGTGTTCAGGCTTGTGTGGTGCTGCCACTGGTTCAGCTCATTCCCCTCCCTTGCTACCACTTTTCTAGGGTGCTCGCGTACCACCTGCCAAGTGCCAAAGTACCACAGGTGGTACCCGTACCACTGGTTGAAAAGCCCTGCCTTAGACTAGCCAAACCCAAGTCCCGCAGCTGTTCTTCATATGTTTTAGTCTCCAGAACTTTGATCATCTTAGTTGCTCTTCTCTGAATTTTTTCCAAACTCTCAAAGTCTTTTTTGTGATATGGTGACCTAAATTAGCTGCAGTATTCCAGATGTGGTCTTACTAGGGTTTTTATAAAGCGAAAATAATACTTCGCGTGATTTTGATTCTATGCCTCTGTTTATACAACCCAGGATTGTGTTAGCTTTTTTGGCTGCTGCTGCACACTGCTGGCTCAGTCAAGTGATCGTCCACTAGGACTCCAAGGTCCCTCTCACAGTTACTGTTTTTGAGCAAGGTCTCGCCTAATCTGTACTTGTACCTTTGTTTTTTCCTGCCTAAGTGTAAGACTTTGCTTTTCTCCACACTGAAACTCATTTTGTTGGATAGGGCCCGTTGTCTAAGTTTGGCTTGGTCTAGGACGGTCACAGTGTCATACCATGGTTAAATCTGTTCACCTGTTGTGAAATTAAAGAGTCTTCTTACATATTCTAACTTTGCTTGTCCATCAGCAGAGAACGGTGCCGAGACGATTCCTTTCGCCCCCCAAACCACGATGAAATTGGCAGCGTCCCTTCTGATGGACACCCGAGAAAGCTTGAAGAAGGCGATCAGGGACTTAAGAGTCAAAGTGTCCAACCTTGAGGTGGAAAACCCAGACATTGTCAAGATTATGGTCAGAAAAGAGCAGAACACGAGCCTGGAAGGCCAAACCTTTTGTCTGGAAAAGGAAGAGAATGAACTTCAAGAGATATTCCGAGAACTGGAGGACACCAGGGCTACTCTGGAGGCGCAAAACCAGACCTTGACACAGACCAACAAGGTGCTCCACTGCAAAATCAGGAAGGTCTCCAACAACCTGGTCAGGTTTCAGGCCTCCAAGGCCAGTCGGGACCAGGATATTTTGCGTATGAAGCAGGAGATGGAGAACATCGCGGCGGACGTTAAACGGGTGGAGGCGAAAATGGAAACGGCCAAGCAGAGGTACGAGGAGAAGCAGCAGCAGTCCGCCAGGCTGGAACGCATGATGGTTGAACTGGAAGGGATCTGCAAGGCTCAGGATAACGAGATCCTTTTTCTGGAGGAGCACCTGGGGCCACCGATGCGAAATACTCTGTTTTCTGTCTTATCCGAAGGGACCTGGGTGCTGGTGGCTTTAATCGCTGGCCTGGGATTTTCAAACCTGTTGCCCTTCCTGGTGAATTCGTGGTGCCTGAGAGCGGACCACTGACATTTGCGAATTTGTTGGGGAGGTATCGGACATCCTGTCCCCGAATCACCCCTCCGGAAGTTGAGAACCTTGTTGCCTTTTTTAAGCCAGAATCCTGGGGGGCGGGGGGGGGGGAAGCCGGAAATGTAAAAAACTAGTAAATAAAGGGGAAAAAAAAGAGTGTTCCTTTTTCTAGGTTCAGGAATAGTAATGCAGTTCTTTCATCCCAATACTGGGATGAAAATCTGAAATTGGTTCAGCTAAATCTGAAGCTATTGCAGGGAGCCTTGGGCTGACCTGTTAAGTCCTCGGCTTATGACCACAACAGAGCTCAAACTTTCTGTTGCTAAGCGAGACAGTTCTTAAGTGAGTTTTGCCCTATTTCATAACCACGGTTGTTAGGAGAATCAGTGCAGTTGTTAAGCCAGTCACACGGTTGTGAAGTGAATCTGGCTTCCCCATGGACTTTATAATAATAATAATAGAGCTGGAAGGGACCTTGGAGGTCATCTAGTCCAACCCCCTGCTCAGGCAGGAAACCCTATACCATTTCAGACAAATGGCTGTCCAGTCTCTTCTTAAAAACTTCCAGTGTTGGAGCATCCACAGCTTCTGGTGGCAAGCTGTTCCGCTGGTTTATTGTCCTCACTGTCAGGAAGTTTCTCCGTAGTTCTAGGTTGCTTCTCTCTTTGGTTAGTTTCTATCCGTTGCTTCTTGTCCTGCCTTCAGGTGACATTGCTCGTCAGAAGGTCTTAAAAGGGGATCACGTGTCCCTGGGACACCGTCCTAAATGCAGGCCAGTGGCCAAGTATCTGAATTTTGATCACGTGACCACGGGGATGCGGCAACGGTCCTAAGCGTGAAAAATGATCATAAGTCACTTTTTTTCACTGTTGCTGTAACTTGGAACAATCACAAAACAAACGGGTTAATAAGTCAAGGACTTAAAACCTGTGAAGGCTTTAGATTTTAACTGGAAAGATTCTGGAACAAAAGGAAATGGTTTAGCTGAACTCAGACATGTCATATGACGTATCGGGACTGTTCTAGTTTAAGGGTCTGTCTAGTTTAACGAAGAGAAGGACAAGGGGGGACATGATAGCAGTATTCCAATATCTCAGGGGCTGCCCCAAAGAAGAGGCAGTCAAGCTATTCTCCAAAGCACCTGAAGGCAGGACATGAAGCAATGGATGGAAACTCACCAAAGAGAGAAGTAACCTAGAACTAAGGAGAAACTTCCTGACAGTTAGAACAATTAACCAGTGGAACAGCCTGCCTCCAGAAGCAGTAAATGCTCCAACACTGGAAGTTTTTAAGAAGAGACTGGACAGCCATTTGTCCAAAATGGTGTAGGGTTTCCTGCCTGAGCAGGGGGTTGGACTAGATGACCTCCAAGGTCCCTTCCAACTTTACTACTATTACTACTGTTCTGCCATGGCCGGCAATGGGGTGGGCACGGCTTCTGCGTGACGTGTCTGACCCGCGGGCCGCCAGTTTGACCCCCTTGGTCTAACTGTTGCTTTCTTGCTTTTTGTAATCGGCTTTTGCACCAGGGAAATCTCATGCAGGCGTGGGAAACAGTGGACATGGATGGGATACACTGAAGGAGGGAATAAGGGAGTGTACAGGAATGATTGATGTCTTTCTTATGAGGTAATGGCTCTGTTGTCTGACTTTCAGTGGCTAACAAAGTTTATAAAGCAATGCTACCAATTTTCTACGGTAGCGGTTCTCAACCTGTGGGTCGCGACCCCATTTGGGGTCGAACGACCATTTCACGGGGGTCGCCAAACAATGCAGTCCGCCATTTTTTCCCCCCTTTTCCTTAGCTGTGCTGCTCCCTTTTATTCTATTGGCTTTTGAAAGCCAACAGAATAGACTCTCTTGAATAGAGTCTAATTCTATTGGCTTTCAAAAGCCAATAGGAATTGTCCAGGCTGTCTCTGCCCTGCTGAGCCCGCCAAAAGTCCCAGTCTGCAAACGGTGCTGCAAGTTGTCTTCAGCGAAGGTGAGCTGTCTGGAAGTTTCCACCCCTCCCTGCTGAGCAACTACTAAAAATGTAAGGAAAAGAGGGCCAGGGGTGGGAGGTGGGAGGCCGGCAGGCGCAGGGAGGGTTGCTGGCGCGTGTGGGGCCCGGCGGGTGCCTTACCTCCCTTGGGCTGGGCCAGCTGATGGCCCAGCCGGTGGTCGGCCTGCGCCGTCTCTGCCGCTTGCCAGCTACGCCTCGGCCGGCGCAGGGGGCGGCACCACGCATGCGCGACGCTCCCGGGCAGGGAAACTCCTCGACTTACGACTGGTTGAGTAGTCCTCGACTTATGACCGGTTTGGGGTTGCGGCATTAAAAAGGTTGAGAACCACTGTTCTAAGGTGTGGCACTTCTGGATGTAGCTCTGCCATTGTTCCAGATTGTCAGCCACCCGGCTGCTTAATTTGATCAAATAAAGTGCTGCTTGATCAAAAAGTCTCTGCTTGGGTTATCTGATTAAATTGATATGGTATCTCAAGTTTAAGTAAGGGACTGGGACACGCTGGTGAAGGCCCAAGTTCAGACTTGTAAGTTTGCTACCTCAACTATTCACTCTTTGATCACAAGAGGGAGACAAGTATTCAAAGTTTGATTTAATCCATGCTGTGAATCTCAAATTACAAAGAGGGAAGCAGAAACCAGCTGGATTTCAGAGAACCATCTCAGAGGAACTGGATATGTCTAGTTTTAATGAAGAGAAGGATGAGGGGGGACAGGATAGCAGCCTTTCAGTATCTCAGGGCCTGCCCCAAAGAGGAGGGAGTCAAGCTCTTCTCCAAAGCACCTGAGGGCAGGACAAGAAGCAACGGATGGAAACTAACCAAGGAGAGAAGCAACCTAGAACTAAGAAGAAACTTCCTGACAGTGAGAACAATTAACCAGTGGAACAGCCTGCCTCCAGAAGCGGTGAATGCTCCAACATTGGAGGTTTTTAAGAAGAGACTGGACAGCCGTTTGTCCGAAATGATATAGGACAGGGGTAGGCAACCTCGGCTCTTTTATGACTCATGGACTTCAACTCCCAGAATTCCTGAGTCAGCTATGCTATGCTGACTCAGGAATTCTGGGAGTTGAAGTCCATGAGTCATAAAAGAGTTGAGGTTGCCTACCCCTGGTTAGGGTTTCCTGCCTGAGCAGGGGGTTGGACTAGATGACCTCCAAGGTACCATCCAGCTATTCTATTCTATTCTGTTCTGTCCTATCCTGTCCTGTCCTGTCCTGTCCTGTCCTCCCTTTGCATCCTTTCTTCAATGATTCTATTCCACCATTTCTTCGCTATTAGTGTCACTCTCGTCCTGCGGTCAGTTGGCCACTGGCAAATTGTCATATAGACCCTAAATAAACAAGGACTTCTAGAGAGGAAAGTCAGTGAGTGTTTCTTCACCCTCAACTCCCCCCCCACCCCACAAATATTTCTAACTGACCGCAGTTCTGTAGCCCCAACTAGTTAAAATGTGACAAGCAATCTTTTCAGCACATGAAATTAGCAGAGGAATGCCTGAAAGAGAACACATGCTGTGCTTCAGCAACTAAAAGTTAATTATATTTCCACTGCAGAAATTTAAAGAAGCTGATGAAGCACACCTTTGTGTGAGCTTTTAGTTCTTGTTCATGTAAAGACATTTCAGGGAAGGTTTATTTTATTTACTGGCTTCAAAACCTGCCTGATTTTGTAACAACACTGGGCATTCAGGCGTGAGAAAAGCAAAGTCTTACATTTAATAATAATAATAATAATAATAATAATAATAATAATAATAATAATAATAAAGTTGGGAGGGACCTTGGAGGTCATCTAGTCCAACCTGCTCAGGCAGGAAACCCTATTCCATTTCAGACAAATGGCTGTCCAGTCTCTTCTTAAAAACTTCCAGTATTGGAGAATTCACAACTTCTGGAGGCAGGCTGTTCCACTGGTTAATTGTTCTAACTATCAGGAAATTCCTCGTTAGTTCTAGGTTGCTTCTCTCCTTGATGGGTTCCCATCTGTTGCTTCTTGTCCTGCCTTCAAGCGCTTTGGAGAACAGCTTGACTCCCTCTTCTTTGGGGCAGCCCCTGAGATATTGGAAGGCTGCTATCATGTCCCCCCTTGTCCTTCTCTTCATTAAACTGGACGAACCCAATTCCAGCAACCGTTCCTTCTATGTTTTAGCCTCCAGTCCCCTAATCATCTTTGTTGCTCTTCTCTGCACTCTTTTAGAATCTCAACATCTTTTTTACATTGTGGTGACTCTACTCCAGCCACATGTTGTTGGCACAATCATCTCATCATCTCCAACAGGGCAACTATGGGCTCTGGGATCATCAGCCGATTCCCCCGTGGGCACTCTGGTTTTCAGTTCAGCACGTCGGTTTTAATTTTTAAACACAATTGCAAATGACACTTTGAGACTAGGAACCTAAAGACCAGCCTCCATGTTAGGCTAGACCAGTGGTTCTCAACCTTTTTAATACCATGACCCCAAACCGGTCGTAAGTTGAGGACTTTCCCTGCCCAGGAGTGCCGCGCATGCATGGTGCCGCCCCCTGCGCCGGCCGAGGCATAGCTGGCAAGCGGCAGAAATGGCGCAGGCCGACCACCGGCTGGGCCACCAGCTGGCCCAGCCCAAGGGAGGTAAGGCACTGCTGGGCCCCACGCGCGCCAGCAACCCTCCCTGCGCCCGCCGGCCTCCCACCTCCCACCCCTGGCCCTCTTTTCCTTACATTTTTAGTAGTTGCTCAGCAGGGAGGGGTGGAAACGTCCAGACAGCTCGCCTTTGCTGCAGACAACTTGCAGCACCGTTTGCAGAATGGGACTTTTGGCGGGCTCAGCAGGGCAGAGACAGCCTGGACAATCCTATTGGCTTTTGAAAGCCAATAGAATTAGACTCTATTCAAGAGAGTCTATTCTATTGGCTTTCAAAAGCCAATAGAATAAAAGGGAGTAGCACAGCTAAGGAAAAGGGGAAAAAAATGGTGGACTGCGTGAAATGGTCGTTCGACCCCAAATGGGGTCCCGACCCACAGGTTGAGAACTGCCGTCTTAATCTAAATTTACAACATAGCTTTCATTTTTGTTTTCTATTCTATCTAATCATTGAATGCATATTTCGTAATTTCATTTTTTTCCTGTTTCACGCAGAAAGTCCAAAAGGGAAGTCCAATGAGCATTAAAATGAATCTTTTCTCTAATCCAGGGGTGGGTCAACTATAGCCCCTTTACGACTGTGGACTTCAACTCCCAGAATTCCTGAGCCAGAATTTCCTGGCTGGCTCAGGAATTCTGGGAGTTGAAGTCCACAGGTCGTAAAGAGGCCACATTGCTCACCCTGATAAAACCAAAGCTGCTAATTTTTGCCATCTCTGCCAGTTCCATTGCTTCCACCATTCTTTCTTCTATTGTGGGTCATGTCAAATCTCTTCACTGTTACGCCCACAAAAGTCTCACAATTGTTATCCTAAATAAAAACAAATCTATGTGAGGTTTTATTTTTTCCAACGATTTGTCCATTGGCCCCAAAAGGAATATGTCTCTGGTTTCCATGGAAGATTTGCTTGTCCCTTGGGGCTTCGATGTTTTCTGCTCTTTGTCGCCGGTGCCAAAGTTTGTGGTTTTTCGTGTCTCATACGAAAGAGAGATGCGTGTCTTCTGGCACGTTGTACTTCAGTTTATGCTCTTCAAACAGCTTGCAGAGCGCCTCCAGGTATCTCTTATGGAGCTCGTCAACTTCGTCTTGGCTGGGATTGTGTTTCTTCCCCACCTGAATGGGTTTTCCCACTGGAGGGATCAAATAGGAGAAATAATTTAATTTAATTTAATTTTTAAATTTAATTTAATTTAATTTTTCTATTCTATTATTATTCTATTCTATTATTATTCTATTCTATTCTATTATTATAGAATAGGAAGGGTTGCTGGAATTGGATGTGTCTACTTTAATGAAGAGAAGGACGAAGGGGGACATGATAGCAGCGTTCCAATATCTCAGGGGCTGCCATAAAGAAGAGGGAGTCAAGCTATTCTCTAAAGCACCTGAAGGCAGGACAAGAAGCAAGGGATGGAAACTAATCAAGGAGAGAAGCAACCTGGAACTGAGGAGAAACTTCCTGACAGAACAATTAATCAGTGGAACAACCTGCCTCCAGAAGCTGTGAATGCTCCAACACTGGAAGTTTTAAAAAAGAGACTGGACGGCCATTTGTCCGAAATGGTGTAGTGTTTCCTGCCTGAGCAGGGGGTTGGACTAGAAGACCTCCAAGGTCCCTTCCAACATTACTACTACTACTACTACTACTACTACTACTACTACTACTACTATTATTATTATCGATCATCGCACAGTCAGCCAGATGTTCAGACTGGATTTGGCATTTTGTCTACCTATCGAGTCCTTACCCAGGACCTGGGATAGGCAGATGTGGAAGTTTGATGGTATTACAGATATCGTCGCAGGATGGAAGCAGTTCCTAATAAGGCTGCCTTTTGCAATTGACTAATAGCGAATTTGTCAATGCCAATGGTGTTCAAGTGGCGCTCCAGTTGTTTTGGGATTGCACCCAAGGAGCCTATGACTATTGGTACTACCCTTGCTTTGGCCACAGTCTTTCTATTTCTATTTGTAGGTCTTTGTATTTTGTTATCTTCTCCAGTTCTTTCTCTTCTATTCTGCTATCTCCAGGCACTGCCACATCCACTATCCAGACTTTTTTGTCTTCTTATCGACAATTGTTAAGTCTGGGGTGTTATGTTGCAGGTGCTTGTCTGTTTGAATTCTGAAGTCCCAGAGCAGTTTAATTTTATCATTTTCTATGACTTTCTCTATTTTATGATCCCACCAGTTTTTGCTTACAGGCAAATGATATTTTTTGCAGATCTTCCAATGCACCATTGTTGCTACTTTGTCATGCCGCTGCTTGTAATCAGTCTGTGCAATCTTCTTGCAACAGCTTACCAAGTGGTCCACTGTTTCTTCAGCTTCTTTGCATAGGCGGCACTTACTGTCTGTTGCTGTCTTCTCAATTTTGACTTTGTATGCATTTGTCCTTAAGGCTTGGTCTTGTGCAGCCAGAATTAGTCCCTCGGTCTCTTTCTTCAATTTTCCTGCTCTTAGCCATTGCCAGGTTTTATTATTATCTGCTTTCCCAGCTATTTTTTTCATGTATTGGCCATGTAGTGCTTTGTCTTCCCATGCCTCTATTCTGTTCTTCATTTGGTCTTTCTTGTAGGCCAGTTTGGTCTCTCCAGTAGTTAGTAAGCCTTCCTGATATACTAATTTCAGTGCATCTTCATCATTGTTCTTCAGATATTCTTCCAAAGCCATTTTTTCTTCTTCAACCATCTGATGTACTTGTAGCATTCCACGCCCACCTATTTGCCTTGGTAGATAAAGTCTATCAATGTCACTGCGTGGATGAAGGGCATGATTCATTGTCATTATTTTTCTGGTCTGCCTATCCATTGCTTTTAGTTCTGCTTGAGTCCAGTCCACTATTCCAGCTGTGTACCTAATGACTGGGATTGCCCAGGTGTTGATTGCCTTTATGGTATTTCCTCCATTGAGTTTGGATTTTAAGATCTTCTTCACTCTCTTGATGTATTCACCTCTAATCTTTTTCTTGACTTCAGTGTGCTTGATGTTGTCAGCTTGAAGGATACCCAAGTATTTGTAGTACTCTTCCTCATCCAGACTCTTAATGTTATTTTCGTGGGGCATCTTGATTCCTTCAGTTTTCATTATTTTTCCTTGTTTGATAGTAAGTGTGGCACATTTGTCCAAGCCAAACTCCATTACAATATCTTGGCTATATATACGGACAGTGTTGAGCAGCGATTCTATTTCAGATGATGTTTTTCCATACAGCTTCAGATCATCCATATAAAGGAGGTGGGATAGTCTGGCAGATGTTTTTGATGTTTGATAGCCATGTCCTGAGTTATTCAGTATTGTTGACAGAGGAAACAGTGCAATAACAAATAGTAATGGTGATAATGAATCTCCTTGAAATATTCCTCTCTTGATATTAACCTCTCCCAGCCTCTCACCATTGATCTGCAACTGTGTCTTCCATTGTGCCATCGATCTTTGCACAAATTTTCTGATGTTTCTACTGACTCCTGTTATTTCTAGGCACTTTATTATCCAATCATGTGGCAGAGAGTCAAATGCCTTTTTGTAGTCAATCCATGCCACATTCAGGTTGGTCTTCCTTCTCTTGCAGTTTTCCAAGATCATTTTGTCTATTAGGAGTTGATCTTTTGTTCCTCTGCTATTGGGGCGGTTTCCTTTCTGCTCAGGTGGAAAGAGATTGTTTTCAACTAGATGCTGTTGTACTGCATCAGCTACCACACCAGTTAGTAATTTGAAAGTTGTTGGTAAGCAGGTAATTGGCCTGTAGTTACCTGGTGTTGCCCCTTTTGCTGGATTTTTCATTATTAGGTAGGTTTTCCCAGTTGTTAGCCACTTTTCAATTTCTCCTCCTTGTAGTATATTGTTGAACTGCTTGGCAATGAGTGGGTGTATAACAGTTAGATGTTTCAACCAAAACCCATGCAGTTCATCTTCACCTGGTGCTGACCAATTTTTGATTTTCTTTGCTCTTTTTTCTACCATTTTTGTTGTTATTACTAGTTCTTTCATTTCAACTTCTGTTTTATTTGCATCCACCTCTTTTAACCAAGCCGCATCCTTGTTGTATTTCTTTGGGTTATCCCATATCTGCTTCCAGAACTGCACTGTTTCTTCCTTGTCAGGTACTGACTGATTCCTTGCAGTTTCTCCATTGATGGATTGGTAGAAACGTTTCTGATTGGATTGAAATTGGAGGTTCTGCCTATAGTTTGCAATTCGAGCTTCATATCTACTGATTTTCCTGGCTATAGCTGTTATTTGTTGCTTTATTATTTCCAGTGCTTCCTTGATCTTCCTTGTTTCTAAGTGGTATTTCTTGATTAGGTATTCTTTGGTCTTCTTGTTCTTCAGCTTCTTTTCTTTCATCTGTTCTAGCTTGCTTGCATGTGATCTTAACTTGCTGATCTTATTTTCTAGTCTAACCTTCCATTTTTCTGGTGCACTGTTTGTTTGTTTTTCTTCTTTGTTGATTTTGCATCCCAGGTATTCTGTTATAACTGCAGCTGTGCTGTACATTAGTTGGTTTGTTTCTTGCAATGAATTGGTGCTTATACTTGATATTGCAATATTTGCATCTTTTAATGCTTGTGCTAGCTGTTTCTTTGGAACAAGCTTCAATGCAGGTAGCCTTATTCTGTTGTTTTTGTGCTGTTCTAGATGCTCAGTTATTCTTTGTTTCAATTCTTTTATTTCTTTAGTTAGAGGGTTTTGTTCTTCCTGAGGTAGAGGTGCCTGGTTTCCAAATGAGAACAGTTGTATATCTCTGCTAGATTCCTTCACTGCCAACTCCCCCTGGTTTGCCTCTACATTCTGAATTACTTCTGGTAAGGCTTTGATTTCTTTGCCCTGGGTAAACCTTTGCAGTTCGTCCAATTCTGTTTCTGTGAATACTTTATTTCGTGTTATAAATCGGCGTTGATCTGCTAGTCTCTGTTCTGTTATTTCTGATTCTGGATGTTGTTCTTTCCAGAACTGGTGCATTCGTTTTAGATATCCTCTTCTTGTTGGACTTGATCTGTAGTAACAGATCATTATTTCTTTGTTTTCCATCACTGTGTATCTGCGACGGGTAAACACCTTTTCTTCCAGTAGTTCTGCAGCTGCTGGCCCTGGTTGCTCAGCCAACAGTCCTGAGTCCTGTAACCCATTTTTCACCAGATATCCAGGAACTCCAATATCTAGTGCGGACCTTGTTAACCCGGGCGACGTCCGAGCCGGTATGGCATTCTGAAATTTACGTCTCACCATATTTTTTATGGGAGAGACACTCTTTGTCTGACTCCTCTGATGAGACCTGTCCAGTATGGTTGAACCTCTAGCATAGCTCTCATCTTCCTATTATTATTACTATTATTACTATTATTATTATTATTATTATTATTATTATTTTGGATCATTGCTCAGTCAGCCAGATGTTCAGACTGGATTTGGCATTTTGTCTACCTATCAAGTCCTTACCCAGGACCTGGGATAGGCAGATGTGGATGTTTGATGGTATTACAGGTATCGTCGCAGGATGGAAGCAGTTCCTAATAAGGCCGCCTTTTGCAATTGACTAATAGCGAATTTGTCAATGCCGATGGTGTTCAAGTGGTGCTCCAGTTGTTTTGGGATTGCACCCAAGGAGCCTATCACTATTGGTACTACCCTTGCTTGCTTTTGCCACAGTATTTTTATTATTATTATTATTATTATTATTGTTATTATTATTATTATTGATCATCACACAGTCAGCCAGATGTTCAGACTGGATTTGGCATTTTGTCTACCTATCGAGTCCTTATCCAGGACCTGGGATAGGCAAATGTGGATGTTTGATGGTGTTACAGGTATCGTCGCAGGATGGAAGCAGTTCCTAATAAGGCTGCCTTTTGCAATTGACTAATAGCGAATTTGTCAATGCCAATGGTGTTCAAGTGGTGCTCCAGTTGTTTTGGGATTGCATCCAAGGAGCCTATGACTATTGGTACTACCCTTGCTTGCTTTTGCCACAGTCTTTCTATTTCTATTTGTAGGTCTTTGTATTTTGTTATCTTCTCCAGTTCTTTCTCTTCTATTCTGCTGTCTCCAGGCACTGCCACGTCCACTATCCAGACTTTTTTGTCTTTCTTATCGACAATTGTTAAGTCTGGGGTGTTATGTTGCAGGTGCTTGTCTGTTTGAATTCTGAAGTCCCAGAGCAGTTTAATTTTATCATTTTCTATGACTTTCTCTATTTTATGATCCCACCAGTTTTTGCTTACAGGCAAATGATATTTTTTGCAGATCTTCCAATGCACCATTGTTGCTACTTTGTCATGCCGCTGCTTGTAATCAGTTTGTGCAATCTTCTTGCAACAGCTTACCAAGTGGTCCACTGTTTCTTCAGCTTCTTTGCATAGGCGGCACTTACTGTCTGTTGCTGTCTTCTCAATTTTGACTTTGTATGCATTTGTCCTTAAGGCTTGGTCTTGTGCAGCCAGAATTAGTCCCTCGGTCTCTTTCTTCAATTTTCCTGCTCTTAGCCATTGCCAGGTTTTATTATTATCTGCTTTCCCAGCTATTTTTTTCATGTATTGGCCATGTAGTGCTTTGTCTTCCCATGCCTCTATTCTGTTCTTCATTTGGTCTTTCTTGTAGGCCAGTTTGGTCTCTCCAGTAGTTAGTAAGCCTTCCTGATATACTAATTTCAGTGCATCTTCATCATTGTTCTTCAGATATTCTTCCAAAGCCATTTTTTCTTCTTCAACCATCTGATGTACTTGTAGCATTCCACGCCCACCTATTTGCCTTGGTAGATAAAGTCTATCAATGTCACTGCGTGGATGAAGGGCATGATTCATTGTCATTATTTTTCTGGTCTGCCTATCCATTGCTTTTAGTTCTGCTTGAGTCCAGTCCACTATTCCAGCTGTGTACCTAATGACTGGGATTGCCCAGGTGTTGATTGCCTTTATGGTATTTCCTCCATTGAGTTTGGATTTTAAGATCTTCTTCACTCTCTTGATGTATTCACCTCTAATCTTTTTCTTGACTTCAGTGTGCTTGATGTTGTCAGCTTGAAGGATACCCAAGTATTTGTAGTACTCTTCCTCATCCAGACTCTTAATGTTATTTTCGTGGGGCATCTTGATTCCTTCAGTTTTCACTATTTTTCCTTGTTTGATAGTAAGTGTGGCACATTTGTCCAAGCCAAACTCCATTACAATATCTTGGCTATATATACGGACAGTGTTGAGCAGCGATTCTATTTCAGATGATGTTTTTCCATACAGCTTCAGATCATCCATGTAAAGGAGGTGGGATAGTCTAGCAGATGTTTTTGATGTTTGATAGCCATGTCCTGAGTTATTCAGTATTGTTGACAGAGGAAACAGTGCAATAACAAATAGTAATGGTGATAATGAATCTCCTTGAAATATTCCTCTCTTGATATTAACCTCTCCCAGCCTCTCACCATTGATCTGCAACTGTGTCTTCCATTGTGCCATCGATCTTTGCACAAATTTTCTGATGTTTCTACTGACTCCTGTTATTTCTAGGCACTTTATTATCCAATCATGTGGCATTATTATTATTATTATTATTTATTATTTTCCTTTCTATTCTATTCTATTCTATTTTATTCTTTATTTGACTTTATTTTATTTTATTATTCTATTCTATTCTACTCTGTTCTTTATTTTATTTTATTTGACTTGACTTATTTTATTTTATTCTACTTTATTACTTCATTTTATTATTTCACCAAAGGCGATTGTAGGCAATTTACAAACCTTGTTTAAAATGCACTACAGGTAGTCCTTGACTTAAAGCAGTGACTTAAGACCAATTTTCACACTTACAACCGTTGCGTCTCCCCACGGTCACGTGGTTAAACTTCAGAGGCTTGGCAACTGGCATGTACTTATGACAGTTGCAGCATCCTGGGGTGACACGTGATCCCTTTTTTTGCGACCTTCTGGCACGCAGAGTCAAAGGGGAAGCCAGATCCACTGAACAACCGTGTGATTAACTTAACAATTGCAGTGATCCACTTCAAGAGTGTAGTAAGAAATGCTGTAAAATGGGCCAACGCTCACTGAACAAATGTCCCAGCCACTGAAATGTCAGGCCCAATTGTCATAAGTCGAGGGCTTTTTTTTTTTCTAAATGTTTTTTATTAACTTTCCAATTTTACATTTGAATATTTAAAAAGCCACGTGTTGACTGCATTAATCAATAGTTCCATAACAAAATCTTAGTGCAAATCTCAGGTTACAACATCAGATATTTCTTCTCTTTTCCCCTTAACATTTACTGTCTCGTATTCAAGTTAGTACATTTTTCATTATATCAACTCAATAAGAACATCAATATTACATTTATCCAAAAATTTAGCTTATGCATATCTTAATTACATTCAATCATCGTAAACCAGACATGTCAAACACAAAGCCCAGGGGCTGGATGCGGCCCGTGAAGTGGTTTCATGTGGCCCGCAAACCCATCCTGGAAACAGTGAAGGAACGGCCCCCATTGCCTTGGCCCTGGCCGAGGCCGGTCGGGAGCCAATGCACAATTTTGTGGTGGCCATCTATGCTGAAACACATTCAGTCTTAGCTCCACAAGGCCTTCCGGAAATAGCGAGGAACCAGCCCCTGCTGCATTGGTCCCGCCCCCTGGGTGCATGCTGGGGAGGTGTCACCCTTTGTGAGGAATGAAGAAATGCACCATGCCTTGGTGCTTGCCCCGGTCCCCCCCTTCTGCCAGAGACCCTCAGATCTGCCCCACTCCTGCCCAGGCCCCCCCAGGCACCGTTGACGCAAACGATGTAGAGCTGGCCATGTCCACCCAGTAGGCCACACCCACTCCATCCACGCTCACCCAGTAGGCTGCACCCACCCTGGCCACACCCATCCAGCCCCCCAAGGGCAACCACAATGCTGATGCGGCCCTCAGTGAAATTGACTTTGACACCCCTGTCGTAAACAATCCATATCCTGTTATTAATTTTTACTCAATTTTTAATTTTTCATCAGTATTCCAATTTAACCTTTAATATCAGCTTAGCATATCCAGCTGTGTTTCCTCTCCTGCCTACCTGGGAAAGCTAATAAGAGGAGACCTTGAACAATCCTCAAAGAAGGAAGAATGTGTCCAGCAGATCCTTCCTTATTTTACCTGCCTCTCATTTCTGGATGCCACGGAAGAAACACGGACTTACCCACGGTGAAGATTGGCTTCCGGTATGGAAGAAACCCAAAAGTTTTCCCTCTGGTGTAGAAGAGAGGCAGGGAGACTCCCATGATCTTCTGCAAACGCTCTTGTGTCCACCTCAGCCAGGATCCTTTGGGGTTTTCGACCTGATCATATAGCTCATTCTCTCCGAAAGAGAACACGGGGACGAGCGGCGTGCTAGAAACCGAGAGGAATCAGAAGGAGAGATAGAACCAAACAGGTTGAGATAACCGAGGAAGGCTGGGTGGCTGCAAATAATGGATTCGAACACTGTTTCTCAACCACTGCACGTTGAAGGGAAACACGGTAATACTTCACGAGATCAGTGGTGGGATTCAAATAGGTGAACAATCGGTTCTCTACATGGATGCCGCTTCCGGGAGTCCATTCTAGGCCTGGGCCACAAAAAATTAGCGACCGGTTCTGCCAAAGTGGTGCGAACCGGCTGAATCCTCCCACTGCATGTGATGTACATTGTACAAGACGATGAGGACCCCCCCCAAAAAAGCTGTTCCTACTTACCCGTTCTCTATGGCCAGCCGAACGAAGCCCTTGCGGTTCTGTAACACCAGGGTGTACGCTCCGGGACGGGCATCTAGGGCTTCTTTGGCCCCTCCCACAGCTATGACTACGATATTCCCACCTTCCTTCTTCCTCAAGATATAGGAAGCAGATTCCTTGTCCGAGGAAATAAAACCTGGGTGAAGCAAAGCAGGAAAAAGAAGAACATTAAAGCCCCATACAACACACACACACACACACACACACATTAAATAGCCTTAACAGAGAATAACAGAGCTGGAAGGGACCTTGGAGGTCATTTAGTCCAGCCCCCTGCTCCAGCGGGAGACCCTACCATTTCAGACAAATGGCTGTCCAGTCTCTTCTTGAAAACCTCCAGTGTTGGAGCACCCACAACCTCTGGAGAGAAGACACCCAATTTCCTCCTTCTTCTCCATCCAGGTCACCAATACAGAGAGTCCTCATAACTGAGCCCCCAAATTTCCATTGCTAAGCCAGGCAGTTGTTAAGTGATTTGATGACATTTTTGCCACATTTGTTAAGCGAATCACTCTTCTGTTGCCTTTTGGATTGTAGGTTTATCAGTTGGAGTCTGGGTTGCATTTTGTAGCTTTGAAGTGGCGTCTTTATTTTTCAATCTGGAATTCATTAGCTCAGTAGCCTCAAGGATTTTTTCAAGTATCAGTTTATAGTTAAGTTGTGGGTAGTATTCCTCCATTTCTATAGTGTTTACAGATAATCCTTTAGTGGAGGCTATTTTTAATAAAAGTCAATAGTGTCCACTTCCACTATAGAGAGTTGTTTTCACCACCCAGCTGTTTCAAGTTCTTATCTTTTTTGATACTGTCAAGGCCAAATCTTAGTCTCACAAGTCTCCCAGTCAAAAAGAAATTCACTTGCTGTACCAATTGTCGCCACAAGATGTCCTCAGTGACATGTAAAGTCTTTCTCAAACTCAAGTTAGGCTTTTATCTGGTTTGAAAAAATAGCCTTGTTTTCCAGCTTAGCAGATAAGTAAAGTAATAGGTCCCTGTACAAATAGGAACCTTTTGGGGCCCCAAATATCCAAAAATTACAACTCCAATTATTTAATCGTTTAGATTAGTTGTTCTATTTTTTTCCCCATAGCTTTATGTTCCCAGAGTAGGCAGAAGCCACCACGTTAGAAAGGGGAAAAAATTTCCAAAGGCTTTACAGGAAGGTAGTTGGGGTACAAGAAACGTAAGATAAGGTCTCACCCAATTCTTCCACGTTGCTTTTGTTGTGCTTGATAGTGCTTTTGGCTGGTATGGCTTAGTGATCAGCCATGTTAATGGCTGATCTTTTCTTCGTCGATCCAATGGAGCTGTCTTGGATCAAACGGAAGGGCTGCTGCCCTTCCGCAATCTAGCGAAGGTCCTCCTCCGCGGTGGTCGCCCCTCAAGGGCGACTTTTGACCCGGACAGCGGAGAGAGCGCTCTTCTTACCCGTCCGCTGGCGCCGTGATCCAGAACCAGATCTCACTGACAGTGAGAACAATCAATCAGTGGAACAACTTGCCTCCAGAACTTGTGGGTGCTCCATCACTGGAGGTTTTAAAGAATGGACTGGACAGCCATTTGTCTGAGATGATATAGGGTCTCCTGCTTGAGCAGGGGGCTGGACAAGAAGACGTCCAAGGTCCCTTCCAGCTCTATTATGATTGATTGATTGATTTTGCTCTTCCAAAAGTTTCCCAATGAATCAGAAATCCCTTCTAAGTCAGCTTACCTCCACTCATCAAGTAATCCCGGAAAAAGGGGACTCGGAAACACATACTCAACATCATCATGTGAGGCTTCAGGCCTGGGAAGTGTTTGGAAAAGCCAGTGGCTTCGGTGCAAAAATGAATGCCGCCAACCACCATGATGCCGTGAGGATGAAAGCCGAAGATGTAGTTCTTGGATGGATCCAAATCGGCCGTCTTCACCAGCTGGAAGACCAAAGACATTTAGGATACTTGTCCATTTTTTATTTATTTATTTTACCTACCATATCTATCTATCGTATTTATCGTATCTATCTATCGTATTTATCGTTATCTATCTATCTATCTATCTATCTATCTATCTATCTTTATATTTATATCTATCTGTCTGTGTCTGTCTGTCTGTCTGTCTCTCTATCTATCTATCTATCTATCTATCTATCTATCTATCTATCTATCTATCTATCTATCTATCTTACCTATCTATTTACCTATCTACCTATATCTATATCTATCTATATTTCTACCTATCTATATCTATATCTCTCTGTATCTCTCTCTCTCTCTCTCTCTCTCTCCCTATCTACCTATATATATCTATCTATATTTCTACCTATCTATATATATTTCTCTGTATTTCTATCTATATCTATATCTATTTTTATCTATCTATCTATCTATCTATCTATCTATCTATCTATCTATCTATCTATCTATCTATCTATCTATCCGTCTATATCTATCTATCTATCTATCTATCTATCTATCTATCTATCTATCTATCTATCTATCTATCTATCTATCTATCTCTATCACATTTTGTTCACATAGCAGCATTCCTTTTTGGCACAATTTACCCCAGTTAAAGAAGTTCCAGGGTATTTTAAATTAATTAAATGCCTTTTTGTTACTGATTAGATACAACCATCAAACCTGCTTCTGGGACCAGGAGAATCTGCTTTCCTAAAAGAATAAATGTTGATTCTGGACTTCTTCCAAATTCTGCTCTGATATCTAGAACAAGAACCACTTAGCACCATCAACCTCTTACACGTTTGAAGGCCCAAGGATTTATCATGGTATAATTTTCATTTTGAAGAGGTAGTTCAATGACAGGCAGTGGGTGACTTGGCAAAGGAAAAGATTCGTGGAGCTTACATTTTGACAGTGGGCGTATCAGCGAAATTGCCCAATTGCCCATCTTAATTTCATTCCCACAGAGAAAATCTTCTGCTGACAAAGCATTGTGGGTTGCCTTGCATAAAATTTCCCATCGTATTTTGACATTTTAATAAAAAGAATAACAATACAAGCTTTTGAAAGCCGCGTGCCAAAATAAAACTAGAAGGAAGCAAAAAAGGATATTTATATTATTGACCACACGGCCAGGTGTTTAGATTAGAGATGGCATTTTATTTACCCATTGGGTCCTTCTCAAGGACCTGAGAGAGGCAGAGGGTGATCTTTAATGGTGTTAAAGGTCTGGTTGAAGGATGTCAGCAGTTCCAGACCAAGCTGCCTTTTGCAATTGACCGATGGGGATGTTGTCAATGCCGATGGTGTTCCAGTGGTGCTCCAGATGTTTTGGCTTTGCACCCAAAGTCCTATAACTATTGAGGCTACCTTTGCTTGCTTTTGCCACAGATGTTCTATTTGCAGGTCCAGTGTTATATGATCTCCAGTTCTTTCTCTACTATTCTACAGTCTCCAAGTACTGCCATGTCCACTATTCAGACTTTTTTATCGTTCTTATCAACTATTATTGGCAATAATAATAATAGAACAACTGTGGCAAAAGAAACAGTTGGATGATGATGATGGTGATGATCATGATGATAATGATGATGATGATGTTGGAAGGGACCTTGGAGGTCATCTAGTCCAACCCCCTGCTCAGGTAGGAAACCCTATACCATTTCAGACAAATGGCTGTCCAGTCTTTTCTTAAAAACTTTCAGTGTTTCATTTACAACATCTGAAAGCAAATTGTTCTACTGATTAATTGTTCTGTCAGGAAATTTCTCCTTAGTTCTAGGTTGCTTCTCTCTTTGGTTAGTGATTGTCCACTAGTACTCCAAGATCCCTCTCACTGTTGTTACTGTTGAGCAAAGTACCACTTATTGTCTATTCTATTCTATTCTATTCTATTCTATTCTATTCTATTCTATTCTATTCTATTCTATTCTATTCTATTCTATTCTATTCTATTCTATTCTATTCCATTCCATTCTTATTCTTATTCCATTCCGTTCCATTCCATTCTAGTCTTATTCTTATTCCATTCTATGGAATGGAATGGAATCAGTGGTGGGATTCAGCCAGTTCGCACCACTTCAGCAGAACCGGTAGCTAATTTTTTGTTGCCCAGGCCCAGAATGGACTTCCAGAAGCGGCATCCACACAGAGAACCGGTTGTTCGCATATTTGAATCCCACCACTGAATGGAGTAGAAATAGAATGGAACAAAACAGAACAGAACAGAACAGTAGAGTTGGAAGGGACCTCGGAGGTCTTCTAGTCCAACCCCCTGCTCAGGCAGGAAACTCTGTACCATTTCAGACAAATGGCTGTCCAGTCTCTTCTTAAAAGCTTCCAGTGTTGGAACAGAACAGAACAGAATAGAATAGAATACAGAATAATGAGAAAGAATGGAATGGAATAGAATGTGATGGAATGGCATGGCATGGCATGGCATGGAAGGGAAGGGAAAGAAAGAGGAGATGGAGGAGGAGGAGGAAGAGGAGGAAGAGGAGGAGGAGAAGAGAAGAGAATTCTTTATTGGCCAAGTGTGATGGGAAACACAAGGAATTTGTCTCTGCTGTATCATCTCTCAGTGCACATGCAAGCAACAAGCGATAAATCATGATCGTAATCCTAAAATACAATCATCATTTATCCGTTAACTGACAGTAATTCAGTGAGTTTTATCCCATTTTGTGACCTTTCTTGCCACAGAGATTAGGTGAATCACTGCAGTTGTTAATTTAGTAACGCGGTTGTTAAGTGAATCTGGCTTCCCCATGGATGTTGCTTGTCAGAAGGTTGCAAAAGGAAACACTGCAACCGTCCTAAGTACATGCCAGTTGCCAAGCATCTGAATTTCAATCAGATCAGCTCGGGGATGCTGCAGCCTCTGTGAAAAGCACTCATCAGTCACTTTTTTCAGGCCCGTTATAACCTCAAACGGCCACTAACTGAATGGTTGTAAGTCAAGGACTGCTTGTATAAATCTCCCATTATCTCCTTGACAGCCTCTTTCTCCACCCATTATGCAGCCGAAGGCTCTGCTGCCTCTTATCTGCTCGTTCCCTAAGCAGCATCTCTTCGTCCCGTCTCCCAAAGTCTTTCTCCCATGCCATTATACTCCTTCCCTCTAGGGGGACACGTACCGAGATCGAGAAATAATCTTTCACATATCGCCAGACAACCGAATTCCGCATCCAATGGAAGCGCCGCCCACCTTTGCGCGGGGTGTCCCAGTCGAACGCCCACCAGACAGCATAGAGGGCACTGATCAGCCAGAAGCGTGTGAAGAGGAGCAGGATGAAGAGGGCAATGGAGCACTGAGCTGGAGGAAGAAAAGGGAGAATTGTTAGGGGTCTTTCACATTAACATGTTCGGTTCCCTAATCGGGAATAACAGAGCTTTAGGCCTCCACCGCCGTGTGCAAAAAAAAAAAAAAAAAGGTTCAGTCAGTCAATTTGAAATTCTCATGGGAAAAAAAGATCTTGCAAAGTTGGAATTGATTGATTGAACTTTTTAGTCCCATCCAGTCTGCCGTTACCACCACAGCCATGCCCAGCCATTGGGCCACACGCGCCCAATGGGCCACACCCACCTGGCACCCGACGATGCGTAAGTGGGTTTTGCGTTGCAGTTTGGGCACTTGGTCTCTAAAAGGTTCACCATCACTGCCCTATTCCATTTCAGACAAGTGCCTGTCCAGTCCAGGGATAGACAACCGTGGCTCTTTTATTTCTCGTGGACTTCAACTCCCAGAATTCCTGAGTCAGCCATGCTGGCTGAGGAATTCTGGGAGTTGAAGTCCACAAGTCACAAAGGGGCCATTATTCCCCATGCTGCTCAGGAATTCTGGGAATTGAAGTCCATGAGTCATAAAAGAGCCAAGATTGCCTACCCCAGTCCAGTCTCTTCTTAAAAACCTCCAGTGATGGAGCACCCACAACTTCTAGAGGGAAGCCATTCCACTAGTTGATTGTTTTTACTCTCAGCAAATTTCTCCTTCGTTCCAGGTTGCTTCTCCCTTTGTTCAGTTTCCATCCGTTGCTTCCTGGTTTGCCTTCTGGTGCTTTGAAAAATAGGTTGACTCCCTCTTCTTTGTGGCAGCCCCTCAAATATTGGAACACTGCTATCATGTCACCCCTAGTTCTTTTCATTAGACTAGACTAGACATACCCAATTCCTGCAACCGTTCCTTATGTTTTAGCCTCCAGTCCCCTAATCATCTTTGTTGCTCTTCTCTGCACTCTTTCCAGAGTCTCAACATCTTTTTTACATTGTGGCGACCAAAACGTGGATGCAGTATTCTAAGTGTGGCCTTACCACGGCATTAAAAAGTGGTGTTAACCATTAGAACTTGAAGGATTCAATATTTTAGAACAGATGGCTGATCTTTAACAGAGTGTTGATGTTGATGATATGATTATTTTTCGCGATTTACTGATTTTCATTTGTTACTCTTGATTGTTAGAATTTTTTGAGATTTTATTAGTAGTGTTTACTTAATAGATCAATGTATTTGTTTACTAATTGTTTTTAATATGTTATAGTCTAAGCTTATGGTAAAAATGGTTGAATATGATATTTTACTCGTTATTATGATCCTGACCGGTCAGTACCTTGTTTGTTGAAATATGTGATTGTACCTATCCTTATTTTACCCTAAATCCTTTATTCCCTTCCCCTTCCCCTTTCCCCTCACCCCCGCCCGTTACCATACCTGTATTGTTCCTATTTTTCCTTATCTATATAAACTTAATAAAATTTTGTTTTTTAAAAAAGTGGTGTTAACACTTCACATCATCTTGATTTTATCCCTCTGTTAGTGTACTGTAGGAAAGTGTTTGGCCTTTTTGGCAGCTGCAACACATGGCTGGCTCATGTTTAAGTGATGGTCCACTAAGATCTCTCTCGCAGTTACTGCTGTTAAGCCACGTTTCACCTAGTCTGTAACTGAAGCATGGAAAGGTGGCTTTTTAAGATATTGGACAGTGATGCAATCCTGCATTGGTCTCTCCCAAACATAGGTCAGATGTTAGTGAGCTACAAAGATTGTTTGGAGGTGGGTGAAACTTGGAATGTAATTTATTGGATTCCCTGCCTGGATTGCCCCTGTGACTGTGTGGGACAGATGGGAGGAAGTGAACCACCAGATTGCAAGAACACAACTGAGTGGTTAATCAGGGGTAGACAACCTTGGCTCTTTTATGACTCGTGGACTTCAACTCCCAGAATTCCTGAGCCAGCCAGTTGTGGCCCATACATTACACTCCTTCCCCCTAGATGGCTCAAACTCTCAATTGCTGGACATAGTCCTGCAGATATTTAGGCGGCCTTCTTGACATTCTGAATGTCTAGGGGTTGCAGGGGTCTCCCGGTCTGAGCCCGTGTCCAGTTCCACCTTCCATGGAATTCCCTGAAGCTTGACCTGTAGTCTAAGCTTCTGCTTTAGGGGGCAATGGGCATCAGTGCGGAATACGCTCCTTCGGCTGGAGCAGAACCCTACTCGATGTTGACCCGGGGATCCGGTACCTCTCCTGAATGCGTCTTCCTTTGGGCAGTCCCTCTGACGACCTCGGCAGATGGCGGCGATGTGGCCTGGTTTGCCACAGGCCCAGCACATTGCAGTTCGGAATCGGCAATCTGCACGTTGATGGTGGCCTCCGCAGCCCATGCATCTAAGGAACGGAATTGCCTTCTCAGCTGGCTGCGGTCCCTTTTCCGGGTGCTTTCGTAGCTGGTCGACTTCTGAGTTGGTGTCTTCCATCCCCTTGGCGTCCTCATGGTGCTTGGCATGCTTTTGGAGGGCCACAGCACTTTAACAGCCCCTCCGGTGGCTTTGTCCGCCATGACCGCCAAAAGCCGAGGTGGCGCAGCAGTTAGAGTGCAGTACTGCAGGCCACTTTAGCTGACTGTGTTCAGCAAGTCAGCAGTTCAAATCTCACCGGCTCAAGGTTGACTCAGCCTTCCATCCTTCCGAGGTAGGTAAAATGAGGACCCAGATTGTTGGGGGCAATGTAAATATATATATATATTGCTTACTGGTGTACACCGCTTAGAGAGTGCTTGCACTTAAAGCGGTATATAAGTCTCATAAATAAATTAAGTGAATCTGGCTTCCCAAATTGACTTTGCTTATCAGAAGATTGCAAAAGGGGATCACGTGATCTCCCCAAGATGTTGCAATGAACCAGTTGCCAAGCGTCTGAATTTTGATCAGCTGACCGGGGGACTGCTGCGAAGTTGTCAGCTTGAAAAAACAGTCATAAGTAAGGTGAGCAACTTTTTTACAATGAAAAGGAGGACACAAATAAATTGAAGAAAAAATATTGTAAATAAAAGAAACATTTTATTCATTGCAACAATAATGCAGACTACTTGCACCTGCAAAGTTTGCCAGCCGGGTGTTTTGGCATGCTGAGCAGCAATTCCTATTGGCTTTCAAAAGCCAATAGCGGGAGTAGCAGAGCTCATGCAAAAGTTGAAAAAAAAACCATCAAAAAAATGTGCCGGAATGCTGTTCTGAGCATTCTATGAGGGAAAAAAAAAGCCCTGCAGATTAGTCTTCAAATATCGAAAAGGAGGACATGAAGGAGGACACTTTTTGAGGGAGGACAGAACTTACAAAAGGAGGACTATCCTCCGTAAAGGAGGATGGTTGGTCACCTTATCATAAGTCACTTTTTTCCAGTGCCCTTGTGACATTGGCCACTAAATGAATTGTTGTAAGTCGAGGCCAACAAAAAAGAAAGGCAGATCCCTGCCTGAAGGAGCTTGCAAAATGGATCCCTGTCCATGTCAGAGTCTTTTTTCTGCAAAATGTACCCCTAAGTTTTGCTGCGCAATGTAGCGACCGGTGAAGATTTTCCTGGCAACCCCTTAAAACAGGGGTCCCCAACCCCCGGTCTATGTGTTGGTAGAAATTCTAGCCCACTGAATAACACCAAACAGCAAGTTGAAATTAGACAGAGATTTATTGGCTACAAGGGTTTGCAAAGCGTGGTGGACTCCAAATAAATATTTGAGCCACACCTAGTCACAGCAAAAACACACATTATATACATTCTATCCCTACGCCTTGGCCCCTCCTCTGAGGTTACAATCTTATCAGGATCGCCTAAACAAAATACATTATCCCTGCCCCTTACTATTTTGCTTCACCTATTCCCTTATATGTACTTTATCATGAAATCCTATAGCTCAGTGTGGAAATCCTATAGCCTACGTGCAGAACTCTTCCAAGGTACGTGTACATGTAGAAATTGTGTAGAAATCTTGCAGTCTACGTGTAGAAATTTTTGTGAAGAAATCTTTCTGTCTGCGTGTAGAAATTTTACAGAGTATGTGTCATTTAACTTTACTTTTTATTCTAAAATTTTATTCCTAACAGATCCACCCTTTTTCTTTTCATACTTAATAAAATTTAGAATCTTCTTAAATTCATTTCAATCTCTTCTTTGTGTTTATTCTCTGTTATGTCTACTTTGTCTTTGATTTCCTTAAAAGCTAACAGTGTCTGTATCTTTTCCTCCCGTTTGATGCCATTCATTATACTTGTTACAGTTGTATGGACTAAATTTTTAATCATAGGAATTAGGCAGGGCAAACACATTAGTCCTAATAATATTATGCCCACCGTGAATAATGCTTGTTTCCAATTGCGAAAGATTCCTCCCAAAAATCCACCTTCATCTAAAAGACCAGTCCAAGTCTGGACTGGAACATGTACAAGTTGTCTCATTTCAGTGGTTAATTGCTTCACTTCTGCACCTGTTTCATCTATTTGTAAGCAAAAATTCGTTAAATTAAACTTCCCACATACCCCTCCTTCCTTAGCTAATATATCTTTTCTTTCTTTATAGTAATATAAGTTAATGGATCTGTTCCTGTTCCGTCTATCCCAAATCCATAACTTACTATATCAGAATGTGATTTCCAACTCCATCATATTAGTTCCATATATTCTTTTAAATTTGGTAATACCATTACATCCTGGATAACCTCCTCCAGTGTAATCACACACACAACTCCACCCTGAACATTTAATAGATCCCCCCACAAAGTAACCATTGATTGGGGTTTCCATGTGCAAAGTTCAAATTAGTGGAACAAATATATTTATGATTTTGTTTATAGGCTGAGATCCAACTAGAGTCTCCACACTTTGTGGCGAGATAAGATAAACTTAATACTGTGCATGCATCAAATTGTATCAAAGCTTTTTCTGTCCCTTTTTCTAATATTTTAGTAGAATTAATGTATTAATCTTTCTTCACCTTCAGGTCTCTGTCTCACTCCTACTTTAGCTAAACCCACATATATACTGAA